TGCAACAGAGGAAATGAAGTTACATAACTCACTCCAGTCAAGGAAATTTGTGGAGACAAGAGAGTACGTCACCTCATTATCCAGTGGCACCTATGCAAGCACTAGACTAGAAGTGGGCCACATTCTAATCTCCTGGGGCTCCATGGGGGTCCATGTTCTCCTGCCTTTCTCTCTCTGGATCATATTATTTGTCACATTTTCATATCCCTGCCTGAATCTGCATACACACACACACACGGCTCATTCCTCATATTTCCCCCACATACTGGAAGAGTAGGAAATGTTGAAGTCCAACAGACTTGAAAACCATAGGTTACACATTTCTGGATTAGACTGCCATGAGCCAGCTTTCCTTTATACATTTCTTTCTTGCACCAGCATCAGGACATCCTGTGACGGGAGGTGTATCCTTCCCACTTGTTCTAAAGACAGGGTTTAGGATTTTTCACACCTGGCTTCTTGTGGGAAGAGAGAGTCCCTAGTTTCTGTTCCTATCCAGCTCTGAATAATATATTTATTTGCAAGGTAGGTCAGCCTTCAATGTTGTTCAGCCAAACTACCTGACTCTAGTTTCTTCCCCAAACCCCTAAAACTTTAACCTTAAACTGTCTGCTGTTGACCTCACCCCATTCCTAAGAGGTCTGTAAGGGGCGTGCATAAGTGCACCAGCGTGCCTACTGTCCCTGTCCTAATATTCTTTTTTACTCTTTTCATGTATTCAAATTATTTTATTATTTATTTATTAAGCTTATATGTTATATGTAAATTATGTTTATACTTTTACCTGTTATTTTATATATGCTTGACAAATAAACTTATGATTATGATTATAGAGTAGATGGACAGGCTAGGAAAAGGAATCTCAATCTTTCACATTTTTATACAAATGCTATTTCTGCAACCCCATATGGCTCAGGAAATCCTTTTTTCCCATTTAATACTGTAATGTGGAGTCAGTGTTGGGGGGGGGGAAAGGCTTCCTGAGCCACATAGAGTAAAATTGAAGGGAATATGAAGGCATGTTGTTCTTTGCACCCCTTTCTTTCTTTCAGATCCCAGCAGCAACTTGACAGCCACAATTGAACCTATCCAGCAGGAGCAACCTGAGGTCTTGAGCTCTGCAGCAGACATCTGGGCTCTACCACGATCGCAGAGTGCTGACTTCTCTTATGCCTACCCTAGCAACGAAGACAAACAATTGCATCGGGCCATGGCCTATAGTCTGTCTGAAATGGAGAATGTGGGGCAGTACTTAGCACTTTCCCAGGGCTCCAAGAAGAGACGGAGTACCACTCGGCGACCACACACAAGAACTCTGGGACCCAGTGAAGAAGTGGCATCTGCTCCATTGGCCATCAGAGCCAAGAGTCCAGGTGCAGGAGACAACATTGAGAAACAGAGGAAACACAAGCCACCTGAAGTGCCAAAAGTAGAGATCATTGTTGAGGTACCAAAGAGCCCAACAGTGAAAGACCGCGCTGCCTCTAATGACGTGCAGTATGTCTTTCCTGAAATTGTTCCTTCCCGCAGAGAGAGGGAATCAATCATGTGCGCCATTCTCTGAATTCAAGAATGCAGGAGGGGAACAACCTATGTCCATTAAAGGTAACAATCTGGCTATTGGTCTCCATAATCGCATTATTCCCTGGAGACGTTCTCCAGATCTTCCTCTGCTAAGGTCCTTCTAATTGGGAGCTAGAAGAAATGTCTAAGATCAGTGAAATGTATAAATTTAATCCGCATAATTTGTCCACAACATAAAATTTAGCATTTCACAGTGTACATATCTAAAGAATTCTCAAAGAAAATGTTTTAGAGGGAATTAAGTTAAATCATGGAAGAGTCTGGTTTTCTGAAAAATTCCTTTAAAATAAAAAAAATAGACACAACACCCTTCTGCTGGATGAAACCAAAAGCCTGCTGTATCCAGCATTTTAATCTCCCCTCAATCTATAAAGAAGAGGCATAATTCCCAGGTATTAGCATTTACCCCAAAGTACATTTTCCACCAATATTTTAAATGAACAGGTTGCTTTAAAACTGCAGAGAATATGGTAGTGAAAGTGGGCAATCAGTTTTCTGTTTGATGTTCCTTTTGCAGAGGTCTTAAATTCAGGGTTACCATCTTTTTTCATGTAAATTCTGTAATTAAAGGATGGTGCAGGTGTGCCTGTGACTGGAAACGGGTTGAATAAAAATTCAATGAAACTAGCTGAGATAGCGTCTGGCCTTCCACCATCAAATTCTTTCACAAATAAGTATTGACAGAGTTTATGGACCACACAGACAGCAAGTGTACAACTGGGCACAGTTCTGCTTTTTTAAATAGTTGGTTGAAAAGGAATAAATTAAGGTATGATACTGTAACTATGCACGTTGAACCTGTTCTACGCAATCATTGAAAATGCAGACACTTTTTTTTTTTTTGCTTTAATTTATATGCTGCCCTTCTCCGGAGACTCAAGGCGGCTTACAATGCATTAAGCAATAGCCTTCATACTTTTTGTATATTTATACAAAGTCATCTTATTGCCCCCGTAATCTGGGTCCTCATTTCACCTACCTTTGAAAGGATGGAAGGCTGAGTCAACCTTGAGCCTGGTGAGATTCGAACTTGTAATAATTGCAAGCAGCAGATGTTAATAACAGTGCTTTAGTCCACTGTACTACAGACTCTTGCTAGTCATTCTAGAAACATACAGGACGAGTACGGTACTTTCAAATCCTCGTATATAAGAAATTCCACTGTAGAACATAAGGTATAACTGTAGATGTGGACTAAAAACAAACCAAAAAAATCTGTGTAAACTACCAAGTATGGTTTCTATTGTGCTATGCACTATAAAGGAGAAATCTGATATTTTATCCATCTGCTTGAAAGAAGGCAATAGCAAACCATTTCCATATTATCAAAAACCCAGAAGTTGAACTCACCTTCAGGAAATTTTTACTTTTTATCCACTTATAAGACACACTATAGTTTATTTAGAAAAGGATCATAATTAAGGGCCAAGAACATTTAATTGCTCCTATAACTGTTTCAGAGAGATTGTTCTAAAAAATAAAAAGAGGCATGTACGTTTATATGCTACTGAACTTCACATTCTTTTACTAGGTACATGGAAAAATTGTCAGTGATACAAAACTTGACCCTGTACATGTGCAATTACTTTTCCATTCAAATTATTAATTCAAAGGAAGGTTGTCCCTATTGACATATGATACATTGGGCCAGTGAAAGATATATCTGATGAATGATACTTAATTTCTGTATTCCATTATATTCTGGAATTAAAAAAAAAAACACTATGAAGGCAGTAGTCCAACATACTTGATAATTTCTAATTATCTGCAGTAACCAACAAGGCAATTGTGCACTGTGAGTGATCTATAATTTATATGACACTTTCTAATGGTCTCAACATGCAGGTCAGACTGCTGATTGAATATAGCACAATTGACACAATTTGACATGTGAAGCCATAGCTGGATTCACGCAACACATTAAACTGTCAACCACCAAATTATCTTATAGCTCTGTAAATCCAGGCACTTTTTTCCCCTCAGCTCTCCAGATATCTGGGGCATCACAATTTAGTCCTTCTATTGCTGATTTCAATCTTTCTGCTGCACAAGCTCCCCATTTTTTAAAAAAAACCTTTTAAAATTGGGAACTCAGACGTGTTTGGTCCATCAGTAAGAACCAGTTTGGTGTTCTGGTGAAAATGCTGTCTTAGAAACCAGGAAACTGACTTCTATCTACTCCCATCTCAGGCAGGAAAGCCATTTGGACAACTCATCACTCTCTCTAGCCCAACCCACCTCACACGGTTGTAGTGGTGGAGGGGGAAAAAGAGGAGGAAGAATTATGAGGTATGGTTGTCACTTTGAGTTGTATGTGAAAAAAAAAAGGATAAAAATTTAAAAACCCAACAACAGTAACAGCAGCAGCAGCAACCCAAAAAGGCAAGTCACTGTTGCCGATTTCTGCCATCCAATCTACCACTGTATTTATATACTAAGCAAATAGACCTGCAGGTTTTCACACAACTCTATTTATATATTCATAAGATAAAATCTTTTAAGGAAAAAGCTTAAGGACTCTGTCAGATTATCTTAAAAATGTCAGTCTCTTGATTATACTGATTATCCTTCTTCCTATTCCTACTTAAGATTCTTGATGAACGTATCTTTTCTTTTATGTACCCTGAGAGCAGGGGTGAAATCCAAATTTTTTTCTTACCGGTTGGGGGGGGGGGGCTTGTTGGGCGTGGCAGGGGAAGGATTTTGCAAAATCTCCATTCCCTCCCCTCCTGGGGGAAGGATATTGCAAAATCCCCATTCCCACCCGACTCTGAGGCCAGCCAGAGGTGGTATTTGCCGGTTCTCCGAACTACTCAAAATTTCTGCTACCGGTTCTCCAGAACCTGTTAGAACCTGATGGATTTCACCCCTGCATTGTACCTATTATTTCATATGTACGGCTAAACAGTGTTTCTTGGGACTTACAAGCCAAATTCTCTGCATGCTCACAAAAAGTCAAACATTAGCAGAGCATATGCACCAAGACAAATTCCTTGGCCAATAAAAAATTCCATTCCATTCAGCCCTGGGCAGCAAAAAAAATCGGGGGGTGGGGGAAGAGAAAAGCTAAAATTGAGATCCGCGGCCGCATCTCATCCATTTGAAAAATAAAAAATAGAGAGGGAGGAGAGGCATCTAATCAAATCTTGACAAGCGGGCGGACGCTTCAATTGTATCCCCCCCCCAAATAAAAAAAAGGCCACGGCGGCTTCTGACTGCAAATGCTTAGGCACAGTGATGCAGCAAGGATGCACCGCGTGCGGCGCTAGGTGGGGCTCCGCGTGCCCAGCCCGGAGAGGGAATCTTAACCCAGCTGTTGTCTGGATCGGGTTGCCTTTACCTCACCAGTTCAAAGGGCGACGCTCTGACGTTACAATGGGGCTGCGCGCGTTCTATTGGTGGCGGACCCCGCCAATCGTCGGGCGGGCCCAGGCAGGAGCCGGCCTCCCTTCTCACTCACTTGACAGCAGCAGAGCGACCGAGGCCGGAGCGTAGGGGAAAGAAAAGGGGAAAAAAAAAAAGAAAAACCCGCGTTGGGCCGCGCGTAAGAGCTGCTCGTGGCCATGGTGGAATCCGGACGGAGCCTCCTCCGGTGGTAAGGTGCGTCCCCGGCGTTGGGTGAAAGATGGCTTTAGCAACCCGTTGCATCCCTTTCCCCCACCACTCCCCCACCGGTTCGCCGTGCGGTAGCATTAGACGGGGCGCCGTCGGGACCTTAGCGGCACGGAGACCCCTGGAAATGCAGATCTGCCCCCTCCCCAAGATAGGAATGCAATCGCAGCAGCAGCCATCCGTCAATGGATCGGGGGAAACAGTGGCTCCTACTTGCAAATCTATTGGCGATGTTGAATCCAACCCCACCCCCCCAAATTACAGATTCTTGGTGACTGAAATGATGATGATGATGATGACTCGCCTTTTGGGAACAAGTAGTGTTAGGGATGGCTCGATTCGGCCCCATTCGATGTGCGCGCCCAGGGGATGGTTACTATTCCCGGTGCGCTAAAACGGAGGACGAGGAGCGTACGTACTAAAGGGGACAGGCAAGACAGACGGCGCCTGGGTTTTGCATTGATCTCCAAATGCATAGATAAGAAACCTCGCCAGCCCTAAAAGTCAACGCTGGGATGGTTGTTTATTTTGCCACCCGGACAATGGGGTGCACGGCGCCCGGCCTGGTTAGCGCGGAGATTCCATTTAGAATCCATTAGAATCCTCGAGAAGCTGAAACGCGATCCGCCTCTAAGGCCGGATGTCGTCTCTTGGTCCGCTGAAGCAAACGAAAACAAAACAAAAACAGAGCGAGATCCGCAACTGCCCCCCCTCTTTTTTTTTTTTTTGGTAGCAAAATATGCATTTGTCACGAGGAAAAGCGATACCAGTTCCCCGCGGGAGAGCGCAGGCAGACCGGGCTCTTTCCCGACTCCGAACGCAGCAGGTTGCTACTCCGTGTTGTAAAGTGGCCTGAGCACGATGGAGCTGCTGAGGAGTATTGGGTTTTTTTAAAAAAAACAACAACACATCCCTGAAGAGTTAATTAGAAAAATTAACTGGGAGGAATTGGAAAGACGGGCCATGTTTAACATGATTTAGGCTTGGTGAGATTGGTAGAAGGATTTAATTTCCAGAATAGTAATCTGATAAAATTTGCCTAGATCATGATGACTGGTGAAAAATGACATTTTAAAATTGATATCCCATGGGGTGGCGTTATTATCATGCCTTTCTGGGAAGGCAAGGTTAGAAAAGCTGACAGTTCAGCATTTCCACATATTTGAGCCTGGGAAACCATTCTTAGAGCATAGTATGTGTCCAGCATGTCATTAGAACTAAAATATCCATGGACAGAGAGAAGACAGATCCTAATAGCATTTCTTTGCACACTGCAGAGAACTGGTCATGAGTTTTGAAGCTCCAATTTAATTAGAGTGGACCATTGGTGTGTGTGTGTGTGTGTGTGTGTGTAGGAGGCATCAAGAATTTTTAACGCAAAGGGATGCTGAAGGAGCAATGAAGAATGGGATTGTTTTTGCTTCTTTTCCAGAGGAGGAAGTCCCCTTTCTGTTGTTGAAGCTGTTTCTGCCTCTGTTACTTCATCACAACAGAGACAAAAAGGTAAGGAAGGAAGCAAAATTTTTGGGAAAGATTGTTTGGTTATTGATTACCATCAGATAACAAAAGACTTCTACATCTTTATATGTCATGGGAAAGAAAAGAATCACATTCCTTTTCCCCCTAGAATAGTTAAAAATTCCGGAGTGCAATCTGCTTTAAACTATTCTGAGGCAGAGTGAATGCAAAATCTAGGGTTAGTCGGAAATGCTGGGATTATTTTTGCTTGGTGCCCCCATCTATTCAATCTTTGCTTATTTTGTTGAAGAGACATTGATGGAAGAGGTGGAAATCATACAGGAAATACCAGCAAAGAGGAAAATTGTGTCGAATGTATTAACAAAAATGCAAATGAACTATTTTGCTTAGTTCAGGAGATCATCTTAGTACAGGGCTCCTCAAACTTGGCAGCTTTAAGACATGTGGACTTCAACTCCCAGTATTCTCCAGCCAGCTTAATTTAGCTGGCTGTAGAATTCTGGGAGTTGAATCCCACAAGTCTAAAAGCTGCCAAATTTGAAGGCCTCTGGCTTAGTATCTTGTACTGCAAGGAGTATGAAGTGAATATTCTGAATTCAGGAGCAATCAGTTGAGTCCATATGACACTTCCTTGTAGGGTGTAACTCCTTTGCAGTCTTCTGATTGCAAGTTTGAATGATGAGGCTAGAAAGTCTAAACTGAGCTGAACTTCAGAACAAAACTGCAACATTGCTGGATCAATTGAGGTTGTTCACATTTAGCGATCACAATTGGGACCTGCAACTTGGTTGGCAAACAAACACAGCAGTTGCTAAGTGAAACTGCAACTGTGCTTATAACCTTCAACTTTCCTTGGCTATACAGACCTGCGGAAGGCCATAAATATGAGGACTGGTCTTCAAATTACTTTTTCATCACTGCAAATGGTTGCTAAATGAGGCGGTTGCTAAACAAGGGCAACCTGTATTCTCCTCCCAAAAGCAAGTTTGGTCTAATATTGTCAGAGCAGCTGTTCTTGCTCTTCCTGCAACCTTCTATCTCTTAAAGATCTAGGCATACTTCTCATGACTTTATGGACACATCCAGGTAGTAATTTCTTCCAGGAGCTTTGACTTCCCAATTTAGCCTGCAGACCTGGGATTTCCTGAATACTTTCTATCCCAAGTATTAAATAGGCCCAGCCCTGCTTACCTCCCAAGGTCAGCCAGGTGCTGCCATCTGTTGAGACATAATAATTGTTAAACTACTTAATGATACTTAATGCAGAAGATCTGCGCCAACAGCAGCCTTTGAGTGCTGGAGACTCGGTCATCTTGGGTGCTTCCCTGTTCTGCCTTTGAATTGGAGTGGGTCACAGTGAGATCTGGGATTCCCCATCTCTGAGACCCAGGGCAAAATTTGACTGGGAAATGTGGGTGATTTTTTTGAAAGGAACTCCCCATTAGTTGAGGCAATTCTGTGGAGTAGATGGTAGTGGCTGAAGTAAACAGAAGCAGTTCCCCAGATGGTGCTAGGTAACCCCATGTTGTTGGGTGTCAAGGAGTAAATGACTGTGTGTCTGAATTGAGCTCAAGGGGCCAAATTGCAGGTAGAAAGACCAGGTGCTAAATACAGGCACTTGTATGTGCTTCCAGAGGGATCAGAGAAGATTGTTATAGGAACCGAGTCCCAAAGATAGTTTTAGAACCTGATGCAGGCCAAGCAGAACCATTCAAAAATCCTCTGTGATATATCGTATTTTTCGGACTATAAGACACACTTTTTTGTCTCCCAAAAGGGGATGAAAATGTCTGTGCGTCTTATAGACTGAATATTGCTGAAGCCCCGCCCACCCGCCAGCCATTTTTTGGCCTCCACATGCCCTTTTTTTGGGCCTTTTTCATGCCTTTTTCAGGGCCTTTTTTCAGCCCATTTTTGAGGCTTTTTTCATTCATTTAGTGACTTCAACATTACAACAGTACTGAAAAAAAGTGACTTATGACCGCTTTTCACACTTATGAACTGTTGCTGTATCCCCCTAGTCACATGATCAAAATTAAGATGCTTGGCAACTGGTTCATATTTATGACGTTTGCAGTGTCCCATGGTCATGGGATCACCTTTTGCAACCTTCTGACAAGCAACGTCAATGGAGAAGCCAGATTCATTTAACAATTGTATTACTAACTTAGCAACTGCAGTGATTCACTTAACAACTTAGGCAAGAAAGGTCATAACATGAGACAAAATTCACTTAACAAATGCCTCACTTAGCAACAGAAACTTTGGGCTCAGTTGTGGTCGTAAGTCGAGGACTGCCTGTATTAATTTGCACAGGTTTGTCAGAGCCATTTCCTCTGCAAATTAGGGCTGATCTGCACTTCCTCCTTGCCGCAGCACAAGGCCAACCACCTATTATTTAAGGAGGGCAAGACAGGTGATGTGGTCTCAGCCTTCCCCTGAGGGGAAATCTTTTCTCCACGTCAGAAGTAGTCAGAAGTCCTCTTCTGCTCATGTGAGTTCAACAATCAAGCCTATCTGCTGGGCTTCCTACTGTCCTACACAAATCCCTCCATTCCTGTTGGTATACCCCCAGCCCACCCTTCCTTCCCCGCTCTCTGCCTTCTAGGCTGCCTGCTTTAGAAGACTGATGGTTCAACTGTGTTTTTCCCCTTCTTTGACCTGATGGAAATTGACAAGAGTTCTACCAAGTTTCCCTTTCAAGAGAAAGGAAGAACTGAAAAATTATGGTATTTGTTCCGTCTAATGGTACAGTATGTGCACAGGTTTCAAGCACCTGAAGCAGGGGTGAAATCTAAAATTTTTCCCTACCGGTTCTGTGGGCGTGGCTTAGTGGGCGTGGCAGGGGAAGGATACTGCAAAATCCCCATTCTCTCTCCACTCCTGGGGGAAGGATATTGCAATATCTCCATTCTCACCCCACTCTGGGGCCAGCCAGAGGTGATATTTGCCGGTTCTCCAAACTATTCAAAATTTCCGCTACCGGTTCTCCAGAACCTGTCAGAACCTGCTGGATTTCACCCCTCACCTGAAGGCTGCAGGGTGGAAAAACCCCATCTTAAAAAAAAAAAAAGAGGAAGCGTTACATTAACCAGGGGGAGATTTCTATATTTTTCCTTTAGGAAAGCAACAACTTTTAGGCTTCTGTAATTGAAGGTACCATGTTATCCTCTCCCTAAACCATTAATCCCTTGTAAAGTAGATTTTGGCCCTATAAGAAATAATGTTTCTTTCCTTTTACTGGCCAGATCCAGATGGCATGAGAAGGGATATAGGAAATTAGTTGGCTCAGGTTTGGTTTCATTGATGCATTTATGGTGTTGTATGAGAAATGGTTACTTTCGAGTGTATGTAATGTATTCAGTGAACTTCAGCTCTATAGATATTTATGGCTGATACAGGCAATTGAATAAAGATAGTCCTCGACTTACAATCACAACTGATCCCAAAATTTCTGTTGTTAAACGAAACCGTTAATTTTGCCCCATTTTACAACCTTTCTTGCCACAGCTGTTAAATGAACCACTGCAGGTGTTAAGTTACTAACCCAGTTGTTAAATGAATCTGGCTTCTCCCTTGACTTTCCTTGACAGAAGGTCGCAAAAGGTGATCACATGATCCTGGGACACTGCAATCGTCATAAATATGAGTCAATTGCCAAGTGTCTGAATTTTGATCACATGACCATGGGGATACTGCAACGGTTATAAATGTGAAAAATGGTCACAATGGTCATAACTTTTTCCAATGACGTTGTGACTTTGAACGGTCACTAAATGAACTGTTGTAAGTCGAGGACTACTTGTGTTGAGCATGGGCTGCATCTGAACCACTGAGTCTTCTGAAGGGCTTCACGGGTCATCTGGTGGCTCTGGGCCATCACCCCAAAAATGGCGTGGCTGACATTTCAAAGCAGTTCTCAGGGTGGGGATTGGAATGTACTTGCTTTGCCCTTTAAAGCCACCCCTGAGCCACAAACTGCTTTTCAGCTACTGGGTGAGTTTTATCGGGATAATGGAAACCGTCGGCATGCCAGAGGCAAACTATTCTCATTCCCAAGTTGGGGACTCCTGTCCTCTTGTATCTCATCCTCTTATTTCACATGGGACAAGTCACTCACTTTTGAGGCGTCTGTTTGATTCTACTTATAATGTGAAAGGAAGTGAAAGAGAAACATGAATATAGACTTATCTATATATAAACTTATCTCAGATACATAGGTTTCATTTTTACTTTGCAAATGGTCGAACTATTTTCTTTTTAAATAAAGCTTCCTGTGAAAATAGCTAAATATTGCTGGCTGATTTAATGGTTTTGGAACTGATCCATTGGCCTGTGTCGGCTTCTCCATATCTGGTCATCAAGATTAGGCTTGTTAGACTACAGCTTCTGTCACCTATGAGATTTATGAGAGTTGTGACACTCACATCTGGTAGCTGTGGGCTGGGGAATGCTAGCCAAAAAGGAAAGAGTGCCATTCCTGGGACAACAGATCTTGCTTAGAGCATACTGTACTTGCTAGTGCTAAATTGCTAACTTAAAATGGATTTATTCAGCCCTATCTAATGAAAACTATAATATTTGCATAATTTCATTTAGGTAAATTAAGTATTGGGGATGTAAACACTTCTTAATATTTAAGAACCAGTGTGGTAGAGGAAGAGATGATGCCTATTATATCCTGTTAGAATAGAATTGAGAGTGATAGAGAAGTGTAAGAGTTTGGTCTTTGAATTACTGGTATTTGAAATTCTAATCTAAAAAGCTTCAATTTATAAAGTATTTTTAGGAGGATATCAAGTTTTTAATTTAGAACAAGATGTTTAATTTAGAACAATCCTGAAACAGACCAAATTATTTTTTTCCGCATAGTGGATAATTTATGAAATTCATTATAATTTTAAAAAATCCTTTTATATTAAAAGTTTGATTAGCCTTGAAATCTAGATTTATCTCACAGTTATTTACAATATACTAATTTATCAAAATTATAAACAATTATAGTGCACAATAATTAAAATATACAACAATAGTAAAATAATCTGAGCGAGATGGGTGTTTAAGAAATACAAAATATAAACAAATAAAAATAAAAGCAGTCTGTGTAATTAAAATGCTTCTAAGTACTATAAATTAATATATCAATTGATTAAGATTACTGAAAGAATACAGTAATCCTCACTCACAGACTGCCTCATTTAGTGACCATTCAAAATTATGATGGTATAAAATGGAATAAAATAGAATATAATTTTTTATTGGCCAAGTGTGATTGGACACACAAGGAATTAGTCTTCGTGCATATGCTCTCAGTGTACATAAAAGAAAGCTTTGTGACCGGTCTCCACATTTATAACCATGGCAACATTCTGTGGTCACGTGATTGTCATTTACATGCTTCCCAATGTATTTGTAACAAGCACAGTTAATGCAGAACATGGAAGTAAAATCGTAAGTTGTGGTCACAAATTATTTCCCATAATGATCCTGATAATGCCTAATGACTGACTGGGTTGTGAGCCTGTTGCGGTCAAGTAATTTTCCACTTAGTGGCCATGCTTAACAATGGTGTTGCCAATCCTAATTTTAGTTGCTAAGCAAGGAGTACCTGTAGAAAGATCTGAACTCGAAAGGCCAACATAATTCACTAATAGCAAGGTTTCTTGAGAGGGTTAGAATTGGCAAGAGGGCAGATAGAACATTGCAATATAAGCCCCACCCTGTTTGAAGGCAGATACAATGCACATGCAAAAGGGAAGGGAAAGGTTGCATTGTAATTCCCTGTTCTCCATTTCCCTAATGTGGATACAACCATGCATCCCAGTACTGCCATTGCTCAGAGAGAAGGCATTCCAATATGGAGGGGCGGGGTGGGGGAAAATCCCATGGAAAAGGCCTATTTCCAAGCAGCCACTCTCTACAATGCATAATATGAGAGCACCTGGTACAGGGCTTCCAAATATGATTTTAGGTAAGAACATCTGGGGAAAGAAGCTTCACTAGTTCCATTTTGTCTCGGGCCATTAAGGATTTTATAAATTGAATTCAGACTGGATGCAAAAAAGCCAGTCAGTGAAAAAAACAGGCTGAAAAGAGACTGGATATTTCAGCAAGTCCAAAACATACTTTACTGGAAAGAAAGATAAAAGTTTTATAAAGCCTTCACAATTCCTAGACTTGAATTTTACTGAAAACCAGTTGAGGAGATCTCAAACATGCAATGCATGCAAGGAAATCTAAGACTGTTTCTAAGCTAGAAAGATACTGCAAGGAAGAGTGGGAAAAAATTCAGGACTCTTAGCTGGATATAGCTGGATATACATTTGACGGTTTTCATTTTTGCCAAAAGAGAGTTTCAAATATTCTCACCAACCACTGTTTTCGTATTTGAATCTGTAAGCAAATCCAGATAAATAATATATATGCTTTCATGATTCCAGAAAGATGTCGTCTTTGTTTCACCTAGAGGTTTGTATCACCTTCCATTTGAGATTCATTTAAGCAATCAATTTCTTCAAACTGCCTAAACTTTTGCATACCACTGTATGTGGTGGGTTTACATAAAATGGGAATAAGAGCACAGGAAAGAAGTCTGTCTTGTGCCCTTATTCCCATTTTAAGTGTATGTACACACATGGCATAATTGATATATACATACTACCAACTTATTTTTTAACTTGCGAAGAAGCTCTGAGATAAATTGGTTAGAGAAGCAAACTGCAATGGCAGAATGGGTATAATTCCATATGCTGTTTCTAGGCTATTCACAGAATTTCCTCTTGCTTGGCTTTCTGGTCTTTGGTGGGACAGTTGTCAATCAGTCTGTATGAAGTGCAGGATGGGCTGTGAGCTACATTGGGTGATACTCAGGGTGGGTTCTACTTACCTTTACTACCGGTTCGCAATGGGATCGCGCGCGCATGCGCAGATCGCTTGTAATGACATCAGGGTCAGTGGGCGGAGCCTGTCGCTGGTTTTACTACCGGTTATATAGAACCGGTCTGAACCGGGGGCAATCCACCACTGGTGATCCTGTGTTACACAGAGATAATATTATTTTGGGTATTTCATTGACTTGGCGTGTTACTGAAAAACACTAATGTGATAACTCGTTCTCCTTGGCTTGTTGCAAATTATGAAAGTTATTCTCTAGGTTATCCTACTGCAAACTATTAAGAAAGGCCTTGTATTCTCTCTTTCCTAATCTAGTTTCCCTGCATAAGATAAGTGGACACAATGGTGGATTACTACGAAGCGCTGGGGGTGCCCCGCAATGCCTCTCCAGACGACATAAAAAAGGCGTGAGTTGCATTCTTTCTATTTTTACCAGAGACCACCCACATGAGTGCCAAGATAACCCTTTTCACAATCTTGTGCCTAGCGTGTTCTATCATAACCTAGAATCTCATGGAATGGGATCCCGCACAGGTATATACTACCCTCTGTGTTGTTATCCACAGGTACAGAAAGAAAGCCCTGCAATGGCACCCAGATAAAAACCCAGATAACAAGGAACATGCTGAGCAGAAGTTTAAGGAGATAGCAGAGGCCTACGAGGTTCTGTCTGACAGTAAGCAATTGCTTTTGGCTTTTCCCCCCTCATTCCTCAGCCATTTTGACTGCTTTGGTCTCTATCCAAGATACTGGCCAAATAGGTGGGGCTATTTACTTATTTATTGGATTTTTATGCTGCCTTTATAGTTTTTATAAATAATTCAAAGGAGCCAACATACTTACTTCCTCCTCCTATTTTTCCCACAACAACCCTGTGAGTTGGGTTGACAGAGAATTATCTATTCGGGACCTGGTTTCTAGGCTGCTGCTGTTGACCAGTAATTATGTCAAATGCCAATCAAAACATGGCTTACATTTTCTGCTTATAGAGGGATAAGCAGAATAATAAAGTGGAGGTCAGCACTAGTTAGGGTTTGTGGTTACACTCTAGTTCCTGTTTAAAAATGCAAGTGCTGATTTAAGATAACATATCAGCCAGCATCTGCAAAGCCTGCGCAGGCCGTTAAAGAAGCTTATTTTTGTTCAGGGACCTTAGTAACTTGGAGATCTTGGTCCAGGTATTTGTTTTACTCCTTCGTGTTAAGTGTGCTCATATTCTAGAACAGTGGTTCTCAACCTTCCTGATGCCGCGACCCTTTAATACAGTTCCTCATGTTGTGGTGACCCCCAACCAGGGGTGGGTTCTAAATTTTTTTACTACCAGTAAAAAAATTGTGGCTTATTTTGTGGGCGTGGCTTTGAGGTCATGTGACTGGGTGGGCATGGCTAGCTGGTCATGTGGCCGGGTGGCCATGGCTATGTGTATAGGGACTATTCAGAGGGCTGAAAAAAGTCATTTCTGACAGGTCCTTGCACTTTTGACTGGTCCTCACACTTATGACCATCCTCACATTTATGCCCGTGCAGCATTCTTAACAACCATGTCACTCATTTCACAACTGCTTCTCTTCACCATGGTGATAAGATAGGGCAAAAAATGTAAAATGTGAGGACAGTCGTAAGTTTGAGGACTGGTCAAAAGTGTGAGGACCAGTCAAAAATAACTTTTTCAGCCCTCTGAGTAGTCCATATGCATAAAAGGATACAGCAATAGAGAGGGATGAAGGAAGGGAAGGGAAATTAGAGTAGGAGTGAGGGTAAGAGAGGGAGGAAGAGAGGAGGAGAAGGAGAAAGGAAGAGGAAGTAGGGAGGAGAAGGGGGGGAAGAGAAAGTAAGAAGGAAAGAAAAGAGAGAGGTGGTAGGTTTGAGGAGAAAGATTGCTGTACAATAAAAAAGATGAAAGGGAAAAAAACCAACCCCAAAGAAATATAAAGATATTAAGATAAAGAATGAATTGTTAAACTTTAAAGAATAAAAGAGAACAAATATGAATAAATAGCAATAATTAGAAACACACATACAAACATACAATGTATTTTCTTTGAACAGAGTATTTGGCCGGTTCACAAATTTAAACAGTGTTTAGTCATTTCAATTAAATTTACAATTTCTATATTTCCTTTTTGCCATATTTATTCCTCATCTATTTTTTAAAAAAAACAATATTACCCTTCATCCTCATCTCTAATCTTAATTGAATTCAATTTTTCCCTTCTATTCTATATTATACCCCTTCGCATTGTCATCTATTTTTATATCCATCCTCACATTGGTTAATTATGTAATTATGTAATACAGTTGTTTAATACAAATTCAACATTTTAATATAAATCAATTAGTTATATAACTATCTTTTTGTATATTAATCAATATGAACATGAATATTCCAATTATTTCCATGCAATCCAATTTTTTACAAATCAATTAATTATATTTACCAATAATAATAAACCAAATAATTTTCCCCATATATTCCTCCAAACCACAACTTAACCATTTCTGCTTTCAACACAATATACAATTAATAGTATCTCAATTATTACAATTCCCTAGTTAAATAGAGCTTGGCCACCAAAGGGCGGCCCTTTGAAGCCCTGCGGCAAGAATTTAAACAGTTTTTTTCCCTCTAGCCATCAGCTGGGACTCAGGAGGCAGCAATAGATTGGGAGTGGGCTGTCAGTGTGGCAATTAATCCCATTCTGCTTTTGGGTAATTGCACCTTGATTAGAGGATGGATCGTGACCTTTCCTTGAAGTATACTTTAAGAAAATAAACCCGAAGATATATTTTCTAAGAAAAACTCATTTATTTGTTATAAAGAAAATAAAACATCTTACTAATCTAATTAGTTACATCTTGGAAGCTTTCCCGGCTACCTCTTTTGGCTGGAGAACAAAGAAAAGTTTTAGAGAAGAAGAAAGGAATGTGGACATGTGCAGTTAACTTAGAGATAAGAACTTGGCAAGCTACGGTAAGTCTGAAAGTTCAAAAATAAGAGCTCATTTGGTAAATACAAAAACGCAGTGACAACCCCTTCTTTGCCAGTTGAGCGAATACCAGGTACATCATCAAATAAGGCACATCTTCTTATGCAGATACTCGTGTTGAGCTGCTGGAAGCGGTTTGTTGAGCATGTCTGCAATCTGATCATGTGTAGATACATACTGCAATTTTACAAAACCTTGTTTCACTAATTGTTTTATATTTCTATAACGGATGTCAATGTGTGTGGACCTAGAACCTGTGAAATGTGATTCAGAAATATAAACCACCGATTCATTGTCTTCCATCACTTATCAGTCGGATCAGACGTGTCCAGATATCTGTGACCAAAGCATCAAACCATGTTAGAGGATTACATGCATCTGAAACACAAGCATATTCAGCTTCAGTAGATGAACAGGAAACAAAATTCTGTTTTCGCACTTGCCAATAAACAGGACATCCATTTAAGAACATCATATAACCTGAAGTACTTTTACGTGATTTCTTATCACTCGCCCAATCAGAATCTGCATAACAACATAATTCTGCATAATCAGTATGTGTTGGTTCTAACAATAACTTCATATGTTTAGTGTGCTTTAGGTATTTCAATAATTTCTTAGCGCATGTCCAATGAAACTGTTTTGCCTTACCTATGTGTCGAGACAAGAGATTAACACTAAGTGCAATGTCGGGTCTGGTCCAACTACTAATATACAACAGTGACCCAATAACTGAACGATAAAGTGTTTGATCCTCGAACTCAGGACTTGCTTCATGTGTCAAGTTGTTAAAATCTGTTTGCATGGGTGTTTTTGTTGTGTTAGCATCCTTCATGTTGCAGTGATGCAAAATTTGTTCAATTTTATCTTCTTGTGAAAGACTAAACCCCTTCTGTGTTTTGTCAATCTGAACACCTAAATAAGTGCTAATATGACCTAAAGATTTCAATGTGAAATATCTCTGCAAAGCTTTGGCAAAAATTTCACTCATTTTCTTATTTGGACCAATGTAAACAATATCATCAACATAAACAAGAACTATCTCATATGTATTGTTAGATCTTTTTGTGAACACGCACTCATCAGTTTCGGACTTAATAAAGCCTATTGAATTTAGTTTGTCAGTAAAACATAAGTACCACATTAAACCGGACTGTTTCAGACCATAAAGACTTTTGTTTAGAAACCAGGTATCCCCTTCTTGCTGTCGGAACCCTGGAGGACCTCTCATATAGATTTCTTCATCTAGGTCAGCATGTAGATAAGCTGTGTCAACATCGAACTGGAAAACTTCTAAACCAAGGATAGTTGCAGTGGTTAAAGCAATTTTTACACTTTCAGTTTGGATTGTCGGTGAGTAGGTATTTGTGTAGTCCTCAGGATAACGTTGAGCGAAACCCTGAGCTACAAGTCTGGCCTTGTACAATGACTCACCATTTGGCTTCTTTTTAATTCTGTAGACCCATCGAGTGCCAATGACCCTTTTGTTTCCTGGAGGTTTTGCAGGTCTAAACACCTTAAGTTTCTTTAGACTGTCCATTTCAACCTGTATTGCCTCATACCATTTGTCTTGCTATGAATCAGGAAGATGCTTGATTTGTGTGAACGTATTAGGTGGAAGTGTAACATTGCAAATCAAAGGCAAGGGTGTTTTTGTCAGTTGCCACAAATATCGCTGTGGAGGGATTCCTTTTGTGGCCCTCTTGGAACGCCTCGGAACAGTTATCCATTCTTCTTCCGTTTCGTCCTCGTCCTCACATTCGTCGCTAGTGTTAGCATCTGCGGCTTGCGAAGACTGAACATCAGGTTGAGAAGAACCAGTGGAATCTTGATCATCAATCTGCGCAGCATCAGCAGTATCATCTCTAGGAAAATAAACTCCAGGATCATTGGAATGTATCCTGGACCAGTCAACATCTTCCTCAAAATTAGCAGATTGGGAAATCACTATTACATGTTTAGAGTCAATAAATTTACTCCACTTTGAGTTGTCATCAATACCCATAAATCTCAGTCTCTTTGCTGCTGGACCTCCTTTTCTTCTTTGAGCTTAAGGGAATGTTCACCATAGCGTATGAACCAAAAATATGGAGGTTCTTGAGATCTGGCTTGTAGCCATACATCATGAAGAAAGGAGTCTGATTTATTACACTGCTTCAAGTATGGTTGACAAGGTAATTTGTATAATTGATAGCTACACCCAGTATGGCATACTAAGGTTGGCGTCTTCTAGGAGACAACGCATCATGGTTTGCAGGACCCCTTGTCATCGTTCTGCGACTCCGTATAAGGAGCCGACGTCTGATGAAGAATTCAATTCTTACGCATCCAGTCCTGGAAACACTGAGACATGAATTCAGCACCACGATCACTCTGGATTCTGGCGATGCGAACTTGGTGTTGGGTAGAAACAAGAGCTGCAGTGTCTTTAAAGATCTGAAAAGTTTTAGATTTTTCTTTCATAGGATATACATATCCATATCTAGAGTAATTATCAACAATTGTTAAAAAATATTTTCTACCACCAAGTGTTGGCGGAAATGGACCAACTATGTCAGTGTGAACCAAATCAAAAATGCGTGTTGACAGGCGTGTAGCGCGTTTGGGAATGGCTGCTGCTTTGGATTTGGCCTTTTTGCAGACAGCACAATCCAAAAACACCTTACCCCTTTAGATCCAAACCTTTTGCGAACTCTGGCATCTTCCTAAGAACATGGAAACTGGCATGCCCCAATCTTCTATGCCACTTATGGATACACTTGGAATGCAAAGGTTTACCAGTTAGTGAATTCTCAACATTAACATTTTTATGAGGAACCTCAGGCTTGCTCTGAGCAACCTGTTTCTTAATTTTCTTTTTGTTGGCTCTAGGAGCCTTTGGAGTAGCAACAGGATCTCTCTCTGGAAGATCTCTCTCTGGGCCTGTGCTCTCCTCTTTTGGAGTTTGTATACTTGCCTGTGTTTGCGATTTAGGCTTTGGCTTTAAGTAATAAACACCACCAATTAACATGGTTTCAGCAACATCTCCATTCTTAACTATGTAACTTGCTTTTTCAAGGTAGTGAACCTGGAACTTTAAGGCTCTAGACAAGTGACTCTGACTAAGCAAATTACTAGTTGCTGTTGGTATATAATAAACATCAGGAATGAATGCATCGAGCTCTTCAACATAAACAGTTCCTTTTCCTTTGACCTGACAAGGATGATTTGAAAAAGAATAAAGTTCACGTAGTTCAGGTTCAGGTTCGTGCATCTCTGTAAAAAGTTCCTTTCTGTAAGTAACATGCAACGCTGCACCACTGTCCAAAGTCCACAGGACTCATCTGTCGTACTCTGGTTTAGGTTGTGGATTATTGGTTAAAGCCAATGTGGCGAGTGGAGCTTGTGGATCACACCTGGGACCATGACGACCTTGTCTTCTGCCTCTGCCTCTGGAGTCTGTTCCTCTGGGTTGGTATGTGACGGGAGCTGGAACTCGTTGGGGACAATCCCGGGTGGCATGTCCCACACAATTACAGATGTTGCATCTTGGCATCCTTGGAACATAGGTACTTCCTCGGAAGGGACGCCTAGCTGGAGCTATTGATGCGTATGGTCCTCTCAAGTGTGGCATGATGAGCATTAGTGCTTCTTCTTCAATTAAAAATCTGCATACATTGTCCACTGTGCGTTGAGCAATGGGCAGTTGGTTAATCTTTGTAATGGCATCTTTCCATTCATAATTCAATGAGTTAATAATAATGCTGATCATTTGAATATCATCAATAAGATAGCCTCTTTCTCTCAATTCTCTTTTCATTCCTTTCAGTTTGGTTAAATGTCCTCCAATTTGTTCACCAGGTTTCAATCTCGAACCATGGAACTCAGACATGAGCAAACATGAAGATTCAATTGAAACAGGCCTGTAGCAATTTTCCAGTTGGGCCCAAATTTGTTGGGCTGTTGCATCAGGCGGAAAAGTAACCTGCAGTTCAGTATCCATGGACATCAATAATGTTGTGCAAGCTTTAGTCTCTAAGTCTCTTATTGCAGGAGTCCATGGCTGAGCAGGAGGATTAAAAATCATACAGTGAGTACCTTCTCTGCGAAGTAACAATCCAATCTCACTGACCCAGGCCTTATAATTCTGTCCTGACATCTTTAATTTCGACTCACCAGCTAGTGGAGCAACAGAAAATGCCTGGTGAGGAACATGCATTTGGTATGCTGGCTGTGCCGGTAAAAATACTTGTGGTATTTGCTGTGCTTGTTGTGGACCAACAAATGGTCCTGGTTGCACAGCTGGAGGCACTTGTGCGTGCACTTGTGGCTGAGGCTGTTGCACTGGGATCTGCTGTGCTCCAGCTGCTATTTGTGCTTGAGCTTGGAGCTGTTGGCAATATTAGCATGGCCTGTAATACTGTTGAGCTGCAATATTAACATGGCCTGCTGGAGACGCAGTCATTTGCCTTTGCTGTATTAAGCGTTGTTGTGTTCCATCTAAAAGGACACCAGCACCACCAGGGGGTGCTGAAGTTTGAGCCTGTGGAGACACTTGTTGCACTGCAGCCTGAATATCTGAGTGAGTTAAGGACATCTCTGATAAAGTCTGCTGCAACAATTGTAATTGCTCTCTCAAATTGTGATGCATTTCAGCTTTCTCTAGTAAATTACTTTCGCCAGCAGATGGTGCTGCACCTTTAGTTTCGGGAAGCTCAGATAATTTTTCTGCATTCGTGGCATTTGTAATTTGAGGATAGAGATGATCATGTGACAAATGTGACGTGTGCACAGCTCTCTGTTCTCTTTTGCCTGACACAAAATCCACCAGGGGGTGTGTCTTTGGCTCCGAAGAAGAAGGCAAAATGGCGTTTTCAGGAATTTCAAAAGCACAAGACTCTCTCTTATCTAGCTCAAGCATAGATAAAGCCATTTTTGCCTGGGATAGCTCACATTCAAAAATTTTTATTTGATCACGATAGCTTTTTATAGCTAGCTCATTAGGGGTAATCTTGGAGGTTTGAAGCGGATAATAAATTGTTTCTCTCGCTGCATGGGAGGAAAAATGCTCTGCCGTTTGTGAAAACTTTGGCCTTGCACCAAGCATTTCAAATTCAAAAGGTTCTGGGAGGATTGTTTGAGGGCATGCATATTCAGAAGGAGATGTCACTGACCTCAGTTGCAGCACGTTTTCTTCAAGAGCAGCTCCCCCAACAGCACCTCCATCAATTCTGGTTGCTGAAGCAAGTGGTGTTTGAAAAGTTGAAAGCCTCTTTAAAATTCTTTTCGCTTCTTCATTAGAGAGATCAGAGATACCTATATCTTCGGCAGAATGTGTTCTGTATTTCTTTTTTTTCTTTTTCGGCATTTTAGAAATTAATTTAATTAGTGTTCCGCAGTCACTAATCAATCATCTATCTAATTAGCCTAGACGGTCATGATCAAAAGTAACAAGCAAGGAAAAAAGCCATAAATCAATTATCCTCTGCTACCAGTGTGTCAGAGTGGCAATTAATCCCATTCTGCTTTTGGGTAATTGCACCTTGATTAGAGAATGGATCGTGACCTTTCCTTGAAGTATACTTTAAGAAAATAAACCCGAAGATATATTCTAATAAACATATTTTATTATAAAGAAGTAAAAACATCTTACTAGCTAATCAGTTACATATTGGAAGCTTTCCCGGCTACCTCTTTTGGCCAGAGAACAAAGAAAAGTTTTAGAGAAGAAGAAAGGAATGTGGACATGTGCAGTTAGCTTAGAGATAAGAACTTGGCAAGCTACGGTAAGTCTGAAAGTTCAAAAATAAGAGGTCATCTGGTAAATACAAAAACGCAGTGACATGGGCGGGGTAAGCGACCGGCGATCCAACAGAGGCAGAGGGTGAGGGTGAGTGAAGGCATGGGGGGGGGGCGAGAGAGGGCTTTGGCGACCCCTGTGAAATGGCCATTCGACCCCCAAAGGGGTCCAGACCCCCAGGTTGAGAACCGCTGTTCTAGAAGACCTTTGACTTTGGGGCAAGTTGTTCAAACAAATTTTTTAATTTGTTTAAAAATTTAAACAAATTTTTAAATTGAGTTCTTTTAAAATTAAAACTCCGTTTGACCAATTTCTCTCAGTTTCATTTCCAAGGTTCTAATTTAGGCTGGCTTTTTCCAGGGTGAGATGATGTAAACATTAAGGCAGCATCAATTCTCTGAGCGCTTTCGGAAAAGACCATGATTACTTAAGATAACTTGGCTTTTTACTATGGGTAGTCCTCAAGTTACGACCACAATTGAGCCCAACATTTATGTTGTTAAGTGAGAAATTTGTCAAATGAGTTTTGCCCCATTTTACGACTTTTCTTGCTATATTTGTTAAGTGAATCACTGCTGTTGTTAAATTAGTAACACGGTTCTTAAGTGAATCTGGCTTCCCCATTGATTTTGCTTGTCAGAGGGTTGCAAATGTTCACATGACCTCTGGACACTGCAACTGTCATAAATGTGAGTCAGTTGTCAAGCATCTGAATGTAAATCACGTGACCATGGGGATGGTGCAATGGTCATAAGTGTGAAAAATGGTCATAAATCACTTGTTTCACTGCCATTGTAACTTCGAACAGTCACTAAGCGAACTCTTGTAAGTTGAGGACTACCTGTATTTCTTGAATGGATATCTGGGCTTTAGCAAGAGTTCAGACCAATTTAATCTCAATAATACTTCTTGTGTTGAAATTGATGTGCTCGATCAATGCTCATGTTAAAAGAAGAAATGCTTGTTCCAGACCCACACATTTCTAAAGGGGTAATTATGAATTTGAGTGGTTTCTTCTTTCAGAGAGCAAGCGCGAAGTCTACGACCGATACGGCAAAGAAGGGCTCATTGGTGCAGGTGAGGATGGGGGTTTTATTGAACTAAGATGAAGGTAAACTGGGTGATTAAAAGAAACATAATAATCTGTACTGCCAAGAAGGGTGGGGATTGATGGGATGAGAGTTCAACAAATATTGAAGGAAGGAAGTCATTAGCCTCTATCAGTGTACAAAATCTTTCAAGTCCAGAATATTTGGAAGTCAAAAGATTGTGTTTTAAGTTTGAAATGGCTGTTTGAAGTTTATTGAAAGTGGCCAAATGTTGTTCTGACAATTCTGAGATGGCTGTTTCCTCCAAGTGTGTGTGTGTGTGTGTATCAGTGGTGGGATTCAGCCAGTTCTGTCCAGATCGGGCGAACTTGTAGCGGCGACTGCGGGAGGCTCCGCCCACCCACCTGGACGTAAGGCGTGAGCACTGCACATGTGCAGAAGGATGTGTGCATGCACAGAGGAGGCGCGTGCACAGAGGAGGCGCGTGCGCATGCTCACATTTGCGAACCGGTAGGGAAGGTAAGTGAATCCCACCTCTGGTGTATACGTATACACACACACAGAGATAATAGATGTATGACAAATGGTTATTCATGGGTAGATATGTGGAGACAACGGGGGAAAACCTTCAAAGCAGTTGCACTGGTGGAGGCGGATGTTCTAACACTTCAAGGAAGTGTGCTTTATGTATACAGATATACCTTGCAAGAACACAGCTTTCAAAAAGGGAAAAAAAACAGATCCAGGAAACTACAGACCAATCAGCCTAACATCAATACCCGGGAAGATACTGGAAAAGATAATAAAAAACCAGATCTGCCAACATCTAGAAACGAGTAAAGTAATAGCTAGCAGTCAGCATGGGTTTGTTAAAAACAAATCATGCCAAACCAATCTTATTTCATTCTTCAACATAGTGACTAAATTAGTAGACCAGCGAAATACTGTGGACATAATATACTTAGACTTCAGCAAGGCATTCGACAAAGTAGACCACAACCTACTTCTCGGTAAGCTAGAAAAAGGTGGAATAGATAGCATCACCACTAGATGGATTCGTAACTGGCTGACAAACCGTACTGAATGAGTATTATTCAGCATTAAGAGCACCTTAATGGGTCTAAGTCTACATAGAGGGAAGTAAGCAGTGGGGTACCACAAGGCTCCGTCTTAGGCCCAGGACTCTTCAATATCTTCATTAATGACTTAGATGAGGGAATAGAAGGGGAACTTATCAAATTTGCAGATGATAGTAAACTGGCAGGAATAGCTAATACCCTAGAAGATAGGCTCAAGATCCAGATGGATCTTTACAGACTTGAACACTGGGTCCTATCTAACAAAATGAATTTCAATGTTGAGAAAAGTTAAGTCTTACACTTAGGCAAGAAAAACCAAAAGTACACATATAGACTGGATAAAACCAGACTTAATAGCAATAACTGTGAGAGGAATCTTGGAGTCTTAATGGACAACCAGTTAAATAGGAGCCAGCAGTGTGCAGCAGCAGCCAAAAAAGCCAATGCAATCCTAAATTGCATTAACAGAGGGATACAATCAAGATCAAGTGAGGTACTAATACCACTCTATAAAACCTTAGTAAGACCACACATAGAATACTGCATCCAGTGTTGGTCACCACACTATAAAAAAGATGTTGAGACTAGAAAAAGTGCAGAGGAGAGCAACCAGGATGATTAGGGGACTCGAGACTAAAACATATGAAGGACTGTTACAGGAACTGGGCATGGCTAGTCTAGTGAAGAGAAGGGCCAGGGGAGACATAATAGCAGTGTTCCAATATTTGAGGGGCTGCCACAGAGAGGAAGGGGTCAAGCTCCTTTCCAAGGCACCCGAAGGCCAGACAAGGAATAATGGATGGAAACTGATCAAGGAGAGATTCAACCTAGAAATAAGGAGAAATTTTCTGACAGTGTGAACAATCAAGCAATGGAACAGCTTGCCTTCAGAAGTTGTGGGAGCTTCATCACTGGAAGCTTTCAAGAAGAGACTGGACTGCCATTTGTCAGAAATGGTGTAGGGTCTCCTGCCTGGGCGGGGGGGTTGGACTAGATGACCCTTCCATCTCTGTTAATCTGTAATCTGTAAATGCCTTTCATAGTGGTTCTACACAGACTTAGTAAGGTAGAGAACAATTTTCTAATATGTGTGTGTGAATTTGAGACTTGGGAAGATAACATGAGAGAGATCTTTGGCTGTGGAACAAAACCATGGGAACTTTTATGCAAATCCAGCTTTGTAGAGTCTGACTACTAAAAATCTCATTATGTCCAGGAGGTTGCTCTGATTAATTAGCTCTCCATTTTTTTGTAAATGGGTTTATCCAACATTAGGCTTTTGCCTTGTTTTTACAAAATATTTGCCTGGGTCTGCAAAAATGGCTAGCTGCAATCCACTGCTAGCAGACTTATGAGCCATGGTGTAATATTCTTAATTTTCCAATATTTCAGCATCTTTGCTTCCGTACACCTACAATACATATCACAGCTTTGTCGTATTCTTTCTTTGCTTTTTAAGCAGACACATTAATACTGTTTTTAACTTTTTCTAGCTGGTTCTGCTGGTTCCAGGGCTCATCCAGGACCGGAATTCACTTTCACTTTCCGTAGCGCCCATGATGTCTTTCGAGAGTTTTTTGGAGGGCGAGATCCATTTGCTGACTTTTTTGGTAAGTGGCTATTTGTAATGTTCAAGCTAGGGTTTTTTTTCCCCTCTGGGAGAAGAATGGAAAAGAAAAAGGCTCAGATGTAATTTTCTTTTGATGCATAGCTGAGAGGACAAATAGCCAGTTCTGAAAAAAGATATGGGACTGTATCAATAACAGTAGCACTTAGACTTATATACCGCTTCACAGTGTTTTTACAGCCCTCCCTAAGTGGTTTACAGAGTCAGCATATTGCCCCCAACAATCTGGGTCCTCATTATACCCACCTTGGAAGGGTGGAAGGCTGAGTCGACCTTGAGCCAGTGAGGATCGAACTCTTGGCAGTGAGCTGAATTAGCCTGCAATACCCCTGTGCCACCACAGCTCATCAAGAAAAGAAAAAGAAATTGACTAAGATTAGACCAAAAGCATTGAGAATATTTTCCTTGTTTTCCTTCTTGGAAACTAATCATTTAGATTACCTTTTCCTATAATGTGGAGGAATCTTCTCACTCACCTTAACTTCCATAAGGACTGAGCAGTTAATTTCAGGAAACACAAGTTAGACCTGGATACAACTTGAGGAGGTTGCTCTGTGGTGGAATATCTTGGGAGCTGCGGATGTTTCCACCTCTTTGTTTCGTTCCAGATGACCCATTTGCAGACTTACGTGGACCTGTACCCCGGCATCCTGCAGCAGGGCCTTTCTTCTCCCCTTTTCCAGCCTCATCGGGTAAGTGTTGTGGCCTGCCAGCGGCCAGTGGAACTGGCAACAGATTCGGACAGTGAGGAGGTTGGGGAGGAACATGAGTCTGGGGAAGGCTCTGATGAGGGCTCTGGGTCGGAGGCAGAGGGGGCGGCCAGGGCTGGATGCCAGTTATCAGCTATCTTCATAGTCAGACATCAGTGAGGCAGACGAACAGCTGGAGCCTGTTCCCAGTGTGCACATGCGCAGAGTTGCCAGATGAAGGGAACAGCTAAAGAACAAGGGTCGACTTGGGAGTAAGGCCACAGGTAGACGATGAATGGCCCCTCACAGAGGGAATAAAAGAGTAGTGAAAGGGAAGTGGAGTTTGCAGGAGACAATTAGTTCACCTAATTGATTTTTGATTCTCTGAGGCTCCTTGCCAAATTTTGAAGATATCGGCCTGGCAGCTCTCCAAGCCAGATAAGGTCTGTGACTGTAAATTCTCCCTTGAAAGACTTTGCTGAAGGTGAATGAGAGGAATTCACTGTTTGTTTAATAAAAGGGGTTTTGTCAGGACCAGGATTCTGCTTCGTGCTTTTTGGGAAAGCCTAGGTCAGAACAGTAAGAAAAGAACAGTTGGAACGTAGGAAGTCCTCAATGCATGATCACTTTAGGGATCAAGATTTCCATTGCTAAACAAGTCAGTTGTTAAATGAATGGTATCCAATTTTGTGACCCTTTTTATCATTGTTGTTAAGTGAATCATGCAGTCATTAAGCGTATACAACTTTTCCTACTCACTTTGCTTTTCGGAAGCCAGCAGGGAAGGTTACAAATGGTGGTCATGTGACCATGGGACACTACAGCTGTTGTAAATACAGTTGCCAAACACCCAAATTTTGATCATGTGACGATGTGAATGGTACATCAATCATAAGTGCGAGGAGCAGTCATAACTCACAATTTGAGTGCCATGGTAACTTCTAATGGTCACTAAATGAATGGTTGTAAGTCAAGGACTATTTGTAGTTTCTTTCTCGGCCAGTTGCTACTTAATGGTTTTAAGCCCTTTTGCCTTTGTAACAGCCCCAACCTTCCTGTCTGCCTATCCTGGAATCTCAACATAAAGCTTTGTGTATCGAAAGTAACAGTTCCCATGCTGGAGTACTTCCTTTTCTTTGGTTCCGGGAACAGGTGTGTCGTCCCTTGCAAATTACTCTGGTGCTCTCTCTTGTAGAGTTCTTCGCAACTTCGCTTGGTCCGGGGCTCAATGCAGGGATGGGCTTCCGCTCTGTCTCCACTTCAACAAGGTTCATCAACGGCAAGCGCATCACTACCAAGAGGTAAGTTTAACTTACCATTTATTTATTTGTCACCTTGGTGGGCCACCCAATCTGGACAGTGAATCTCTTTGTATCTTAGTATTTGATGGGCATTTTAATCTGATTTGTTCTTTGTTTACCTTTCTGTCAACGTCTGGTCATGTAGAACAGATTTGGGATCCTCTTCAAGGATGTTCAGGCCAGGGGTGAAATCTAAAATTTGTTACTACCGATTCTGTGGGCATGGGTTGGGGTGGGGGTGTAATGTGACTGGGTGGGCGTGGCCAACTTTTTTTTTTTTTACTTTTACTTTTAAAAGCATTTTTTCTACAACCTCTTCAGCCGAAGAGGTTGCAGAAAAAAAATGCTTTTAGAAGCCTCTGACGATCAGGCAACTCAGCTGGGATCGTCAGAGGCTTTTAAAGGCATTTTTTTTCTACAACCTCTTCAGCCGAAGCTGACGTGGCTCAGCTGGGCATGCGGGGGGGCAGGGATTTTTGCTACTGGTTCTCCAAACCACCCGCCGCCATCGCTACCGGATCAGGCGATCCGGTCCGAACCGGGAGCATTTCACCCCTGATTCAGGCCCATTCTTTCATCATGTTTCTGGAGCCTAACCATTTTTTGCTTCATTTCTACTGTTTTATTTCTGTTTCCTCTTAAAGAGCTTCATATTATATAACTCATGGGCGTCACGTTGCTGTCATGTGATGTATTGTGACTTTTTTTCATTTTGCAGAGCTGGGGTGGGTGTGGCCTGCGCATGACGCATTCGGCCTGAGGGCTGCCAGTTTGACTCATCCCATTTCCATAGTGGAGGCTTGTTGCTCACCCAGTATAAAAAGCCTGCAGTAAGATGCAGACTTGTTCACCCATTCTAGTAAAAAAACAATGTGGCTTATTGTGTTTGAGGCCTGAACAATTTAAGTTTAGAATGCTTTGTGCTCTCAGCCAACCATATTTTACATTTTAAGTAATGATTAAATAAACTATGCTTTAGTGCACTGTGGTATCAGGACATATTGATTTGGACCAATATCCATCTAGCCCAATCTTGTTGGATACTGGGATATAGCTGTATTTCAGAGTTGGGTCTGACAATTGCCTTGATCAAGGGCTGTCCTGCAAATATTTTACTTTTTTAATGTCAATATTTTGGAAATTAAACCTTATGGAGTGCAGGGAATGGAGAGACAAGAAAAGTGATGGGGAGACCTGAATTGCACATAGTTTCTTCCTTAGGTGCATCCGTTTATATATAATGTTTACTTAGAGGTGTGCAGCATTCAAATCCAAAATATTGAGCGCTTGGATGTGGCACAGCCCACTTCTGTGAGTTGCTGCATAAAGGAACCGTACTCAAAACACAGCTGCATGGTCTCAGGAAGACGTGTACTTGAGTCGATACCCTTGTCCTGTTTTAGACCTCAATACTGCATGTCTCTAACACAAGTGTGATGTGCTGTAACATTTTCCACACAGTCCCTGGGAATTCCATTCTGTATTGGGGTGCAATTGCTCTTGAAAAAAAAAATACATTTACAGTTCAGGTGTGCTTCTGAATGCTGACATGACAGCTTTTTGCCCAGCCCAACTTTTCTTAGGGCATCGTTGTTGTTGTTTTTTCATTTTTTTTCTTTTTTAATAACCACTGTAGGGCTCATTAGATCACAAAGCAGGAGGTAAGCTTACCAATGATTACAAGGCATTCCAAGCTTCTGAGTAAGTTTTTCAATTAAGGTAATTGACCTTACTAGCCAGCATTACAAAGTAACAAAGAAATTATTTTCCAGTGTTTTGGCATTGGTCATATTTTTAACCAGCAATTAGAAGTTTTTATTTTATTTTATTTATTTATTTGTTCAACTTATATGCCGCCTTTCTCCGAAGACTTTTGTATCTTGTAAGGCAGGGCTGTCAAATTTGTGGCCCGCGAACCGGATGTGTCACACGCTGACCATGCCCATGCCCGGTTTAGCGAAGGGGAAAAAAGTCCCGATACGTCATGTGACAACACAAGTTTGACACCCCTGTTGTAGGGTTTCAATCAGTAGTGGGTTGCTACTGGTTCTCCCCGTTTCGGGAGACCCGGTAGTGGAAATCTTCATAGGTGAGCTCTGAATGTCAGATGGGCCCTCCCCCTCCGCCCCTGCGCTATATCTACCTTTATTTTGTTTGTTTTTTGGTCAGCTGTAAGGCGCGGCAGAGAGGATTGCCATGCCTCAGCTGTTTTTTTTCTCAATGTGCTTGTGCAAAGTGCAAGTTTGGTGATCGCGCGCAAAGCGCGTGCACGATGCAAATCGGTGGTAAAACTGATTAGAACCCACCACTGGTTTCAGTGGTATGCTGGTGTTAGAGTTGCTTCTTTAATCTGAGCAGAGAGAAAGGAGTAAATCCCCTTGAATGAATCAAGGGGAATGAATCAAGATCTGCTTCTCAGACCTGCTGTTACATTTTTATTTTTATATTGGATACCTTATATGTTTTTTTCTGTGTAAGCTGCTGAGAGTCCATTAGATTGCAGTGACACAAATGTGTTTTATTTAACTTTATTACTAGTTTATTCATTAGCAGTGAAGTTACTTCATGAAGATAGCACAACAACCAGCTTTGAGCTATGTTGAGTTGGTTTTATTTATTACGTGGACTCAACGTGGCTCAAAGCAAGCAGATATGCTGTCCCATGAAATAACTTCAGTTTTTAACCTCTCTCCTATTTATTAGGATCATTGAAAATGGACAAGAGAAGGTAGAAGTGGAAGAAGATGGAGAGCTGAAATCCATCCAGATTAATGGTGAGTAGCTTTAGAGCAGTGTTTCTCAACCTTGGAAGCGCTGGCTGGGGGATTCTGGGAGTTGAAGTCCACCCATCTTCAAGCTACCGAAGTTGAGAAACACTGCTTTAGAGGAAGAGAACTCTGAATACCTTAATAACTTCTTTATAGAAGTGCATAATATTTTTGGCCTCTAGGGTGACAGAGGGTTGATGGATATATTTAAAAGGTTTCCATGACTGCCCATTTCACAGCAGTCATTCTGGGCTGTGTAGAAAGTTAAAACAAAACAATCCCAATAATAAATGTCTGAGGTTATAAACAACTTGCAGTAAAACAAATAGCTGGCTCAGCAAACTTAACCTCTTGCTTGGCCCAAATGCCTGGAGGGACAGCCACGTCCCCAAAGTGAGCAAAACTGGAATTGGTCTTTTGGGATAATTGCATGGGGCAAAAAGCATGCATTAAACTTTTAAGTTAATGTACCTGTTTTGCCCCTCTAAAATCAGTCCTTTTGTTTGTTATAATCCTGCCTTTTTTATTTTGACATATAACTCAATATCATATCCAGCTTCTATTTTCCCAACAACAACCCTGTGAGATGAGTTGGGCTGAGCGAAAGAGAGAGTAGCTGGCCCAAAGTCACTCAGCTGGTTTCATGGTTAAGGCAGGACTTGAACCCAGGGTCTCTTGCTTTCTAGCCTGGTACCCTAACCACTAGATCAAACGTTTTGTCTCTGAATTTGGGATTGCGCGCTAGAGGACGTCTGGGGAGTATAGCACATGTGCTGGGGAAACTACCTGAGTAGCCACCCATACAGCTGCCACAGCAGATTCTGCAGATCGTATAATCCAAGCCTGCCTGCCTACCTGCAGAAATCTGGGGTCTTCCTGACAGATTGGATGTCAGCACACATCACCTCAAATAATTATACTTGCTGGGGAATTTCAGGCATTGTAATCCAGCAAAGGTTTCCTGGGCTGCTGAAGTTTCTGGTTAATGCTGTGTCAAGGTGGGTGTATGCACATATATGGTGGAGGGGGCGAAGGGATACTGGAGGATGACTTCCCCAGCTATTGGCTAAAACACGTTCCTTGCAGGCATCCCAGATGACTTGGCATTAGGCTTGGAACTAAGCCGGCGTGAGCAGCAAGCCCTACCGAACCGTGGGCCGCCAGCATCTCCTCCGGTGACATCACCTCAACGCCCAGCGCCCAAACGCCCATCCCCGAGCTCCTCCCCAGTGATCCTGTACACAGACAGCGATGAAGAGGATGAGGATCTTCAGCTTGCTATGGCCTACAGCCTTTCTGAGATGGAGGCCAAGAGCCAGCACAGAGCAGGTGCGAGAAGCCCCACGAAAAAGCAATCCAAAGGAAAGTCACAGTTGCCACAAGGGAATCTTGTCATGGACAGCCAAGCGGGTGGCCCATCCAAAAGCCCCGCAGGGTCCGTGGGAGGGGACGGAAAGGGGAGGGGCAAAACCAGAGACCCTTCACCTAAGAAGAAGAAGGACACTCAGTGCCACCTCCTGTGAGCTCACCAAGACTGTGTTTCATTGGCTGGTACACTCTGGACCTTGGCCAATGGAGGGTGGGACCTTGAGGATGGCTCTGATTGGTTACTAAGAGGATAGCCTGCAGGTCCATCCAGTCCTTGAGCTGGTGCCACTGAGTAAAGGGCAGGAGCAGATTCTGTAACTTGGTATGTGTAATTTGGCACGGAGGGGGTGGGTGGGATTGTCTAGGCATCTCCTGGGCTATAGAGCCCTGGTTCCTTGTACAAATTCAGGTTGCACCCTCTATTTTGCTGTTTTATTGCATGGCTTACTGCATGGTCTGACTGCGTGGCCTTGCCGTTCTGCTGTACCAGAGAGATTTGTCCTGGGGAATTGTTATTGGCTGCTGCTCCTTGATTATTGTTATAGTTGAGCCCTGGGTAACGAGAAGAAAATGTGATATTTAAAACCCAGGTGTTTTTTTAAATATTTGGTTGAAGTGACTCAGTTTGGGCCTGTCCTAAATGAGGATGATTCTAGGGCATACTTAGGGTTTGGGGCCTTTTTCTGCCACCTTCTCCTCACCCTTACTACCAAAACTGTGCCTTCCTTAGCTAGTAACTGTCTGGTTGTGTTTGCACAAAATGCTTAACCAGATCAGTAAGGACCTAGTGGCTGCAGTAGCATACAATAGACTTGATTAATTCTAATTGTGGTTTCTTTAGTGTGTTATGTGTGAGCCCAGCACATTTCACCAGCTCATCATGTGAATCCTGAAAAATGGATTAAATTTCTCATCCAAGATAAGCATATTGTGCAGACAGAGCTGTAATGTACAGTATATAGGAGATTAAAACCTCAACAGAATTTTGCTTCAGGATGTTATAAAATCAGAGCAGCCGTTCTCTATGGGCAGTTTTCAGTCTTCCAATAGCCCAGTTTGTGAATGTTTTGTCTTGGACAAGCAAAAGGTGGAGGGAGGAGGGAGCCAAAGCAAGAAATTTGCCATGCAGATCCATTCAGGTGGCTGGTATCTCCCACTGTGGGTCATAGTCCCATGTTTTATCTGTACAGGGGGCAGTGAATCTTAGATAACTTCACTGCTTGCAATTGTGATCTTCAAATCAAACCACTAGTTAAAAGAGGCTGTACATCTTTTTATTTATTGGCATGGCACTTTTTCCTGCAGACACCACTCGCTCACTGCTCACTTTAGTTATTGCTTGTGGGTATCTGGTACCTGCTATTTCCTTCCCCTGCCCCCTCCTCCTCCAGTTATCTTCTGCCTAAGAGTCGGGGTTGGGTTGGGGGTGGTGAAGGCATGGGATCTGGTGGGTTTGCAGTCCTTTGCCTTTCTCTTTCCTTTTGTCTACCCTTGGTGGCAGGCCCTGGAAAAGGCTTCGGTGGATGCTTGATGTAGGAATGTAACTTGTTGGTGCCCTCTTTCTTTCTCTACTGTCGCCGCCGCTTGTCTGCTCACCTGCCCATCCCTCCCTTCCGTGCTTCCCATGCCACAGACCCTGAAGGACAGGCATATTCTGTCTGACACCCCTCCATGCTGCCTCCCTGCAGGTAACCCTCAAATGTTTATTTTACCTGATCAGTTGAAACAGCCATTCATCAGCAGGGCTGTGTATATTTCTAATACCCTTGGCTTTGACTACACACATAGGCCAAGATGATCCATTCCTCTCAAAACACTTAAAGAAAATTCCAGGTTGCAGTACCTCTATGAGATTTCCTTCCGTTCTTATTATTTATTTATTTATTTACCTCCATTTATAATTTTAAACTTTATTTTGAAAAATGCCTTGTAAAGGCAAGAACGAAGACAATTTACAGCTATCTGTATTATTTTGCAGATACGTGTATTTGCTTGGGGAAAATATAATATACACAACCCTGGTCTTTTTGTTTTATGGGCCTCAGCCTGCCATTTAACTTGCTTGTCTCTGTGCAACTACCCTATGCTTACGTTCCTATTTGCTTTGCTTTCCATCCTGACAAAGAGGCAAGAGGTTGGGGGAGGAGGACAGAGAAAGAAAAAATGTTTATGAGGGATCAATTGGCTGGGTTATCCTTCGCTGTTAGGCCAGCCAGACAATATTGTTATGAAGGCAAGACTAGAATGTACGAGGGTAGCAAAGTGGAGTCAAAATAAATATTTCATTAAATGTTTCTGATGCCATCCACGGATGCAGAGAAAGTAAATCGGGATTTAGCAAGTGAAGACATTTGCTATAAATTGGGAAAGATTTTTGACACCTCTTCCAAAATATCAATAATGATGTGACTAAATTATATAGCCAAGATTGGGGGTGGGGGAGTTTGAGATGAATAGTGAGGTTGTGTGTGTGTGTGTGTGCACGTGTGCAAATTGTGAGCTCTGCAAAGGCAGTAGATATGGGTGAGGTGGAGTGAATCTGTTTCACTGCTTTGCTCATTACGAGGCTCCTCTCCACAAAAGTTCTTATCTCTAGTTTGCATCTAAATGTAAACTGCATCTCTAATTTCCTTCATTTGGAGAAAGCCAATTGCAGGATTTGGAGGCCTTGCGGTCTTCTTTCCACCCACCCCCACTCCCTTTGCAACAGTGTCTTGGTAGAACAAATATTATGATCAATAGACAAGGACTAATAGAAAGAGGCGGGAATCTTCTTTACCACAAGTAGTTCATTAATAGCAACTCTTCTGGGGTTCACATTCCTTATTTTGCATGCTCCAATGCACTCCTCCCTCGCCACACCAAGGTTGAAATAGAGTGGTTCTTGCATGATCTCAGGGGCTTGCAACAACTGTTTTGATGCTAAAGTACTCTCCCTCCTTTTCTTTGGGGAATATGTCACAGCTCAGACACTGCTGGCTGCTGCCCACTTTTCACTGTTGTCTAATTCACTTGGTGTCTGTATTTTTTCTCTCCCTTCCCCTCCTCTGTCTCCTTGCTTGTTTCCCCAGGTGTGTTCTGAGTCTGGAAGAGCCATGGGGATTGCCTTTCCAGCATTCGTTCTCGTTGAAGGCTGCTCAGGCCTGGACTTCACTTTCTGTTCTCTCCCTGAACCTGCGGGGGGGACTGGCAAGTGCAGAGTGTTTTTATTTCCCCTTCATTCTTTCTGCTGCGTAGCATGTAGCACTCACTGGCTCAGGCAGGCTACAGCCTGTTTGACGTAGAAGTAGCTATCTTGCTGCTCCATAGAGCCAAGGCCTTTTATACTTGTGAGCACTCTTCACTGGTGCTCATTGCCCTCTTAAGAGAGCCTGGCTGAAGAGTGGGGGGTAGTCTTGAATGGTCTATCCAGAGAGGCAGTGGTGGGTCAAGAAAGCCAGAATCTCCTCATCGGCATGGGCTGCAGCAGCATCTTCAGCTGCCCAGGGACACATGGATCTCAAGACAAACACCATTTGTGTTTGGAGAGTCATATGAATGGGAACAAAGAAAGTTTTGTTCAAGCACCAGGGTAGACTCTCATGTTGTGCAAAAGGCAGCCTTGGCACCTTCCCCCACCCCGCAATCATATACAGAACGATATCTGAACTCCCAGAATTCCTAGCTAGCACAATGGCCCTGCTATGAAGAGAATTGTGGGAGTTGCAGTCCCAGCACATGGCAAGGCTGCTCTAAAGCCAGGGGCTGGACATCAAGTTTCTCCCTTAGAGCAGCAAGGACTCTTCCAGACCAGTCACTGCAAAGAGAGTAAGTTGGACTCTCTTGGTAGCAAGGAGAGGGCTAGGTCTGTGGCTCATCCTGCCCCCCCCCCACCTCTGACCCTTCTAGCAAAATTCTCTTGAAATAATGACTACAGATAATACAACCCCATTCAACATGTCTGTAACTTGGAGTGGATCTGGTCTCTTTTGTAATGCAGAGTGCTGGCCTGGTATAAAAATGGAAGACATTTATCAATAAACTTATTTGCAATTAACGCTGTCTCAGAAATGTTTGGAAAGAGGTTAGGAAGGAATTATTTTGATCTTTCTGAAGTTCGATAAAAAGGCTATCGATGACAGGTTATTCAAAGAACAAATTCTCCCATTTGGTATTCTGCCTGCTTCCACACAGGACAAGCTTTGTATTTCCCCAAAGTGCAGTAGTATTTAGGGCATTTTTTTTTAACCTCCTCTAATTTATTATCCTCTTAACAGAAGATAAAATTAAGCCTGGGTTGGATACTTTAAAAGGTTGCTTCCATGGTGTTTAGGGTTATTGCCTCCTATACACTTACCTTTAGATACACCTTAAGAGCTACTTACAGCTTCATGGTTGAAGAATAAAACTAGCTGGAGGAATTGCCTTGTGAAAATATATTGAACAGCTTAAAGACTACAAAAAAATAATTTCAACTGGTAATACCCAGAATGCTCAGAAAACAAAGTGGTATCCTTGAAAGGCATCCACCCAAGGCTTGATATGGCAAAAAAGGGCTCCTAGAGAGCCTGGCAATTAAGGGTCAGAGCCAAACCACCTATTTCACAAAAGGCCGTCTGCCATCTCCCATCCGCCCACCCAGATTCCTGACCACAGGTATCTTCCCCAAGGTTATAATCCTATGGTTGCATATGGGGTGGTGGTGGTGATGGGTTCGTTAAAATCTTTCTCATTGGACCTACTTGAAACTCTGTTGATTTTTCCTGTAGACTCAAGATAACATGACTGTTCAGATCATAAGTGTCCCTGCCTATGTATTCTGGGGTGGGTGGGTGGGATCAAGCCAAGGAGGCAGGAAAAGATGGCAAGGCTAGTGCTTAGATGAGATAAAGTGTGAGCAGAAAAGGCTTAGGCACAGACAGAACTTGCTTGGTGTTCCTTCTGCTTGTTGAAAGGGCAGCAGACAGAAAGGCAGGACGTATTGTATTTTTAAGAATTTCAAAATTAGATGTGTATGTATATGTGTTTGTACATAATACACCCACACCCATTCCCAGGCACACACATAACAAGGATTGGGATACCACTGTACCCTTTGACACCACGTGGGTAACTCTCTGACTCCTTTACATGCCAGCCCTTTGGAGCTAATTCTTCTACCTCCAGGAAAATACCTGACACTCCAAGTTGTTATCTATAAAGCCTTTGGCATGAGCAGACAATGCATTTGTTCTGCCTGGTTATACACAAGATGGGGAGGCTGGGCTGCAGCTGCACAAACGCGACACAAAACCTTTATTCACATCAAATACAAAATTAGATTCTCTAGAAATGTCTCTTTGTGATAAGTAACACTCAGGAGAAAGTAGGGAGACAAAACAGCAGTTAGCAGCTGTAGGGCCATCTCCCTGTGACGTTCCCTTCCTCCGTTTAGGGAAGGGAGCAAATGGTTGTGACTAGGCTTGGCTCCAGGCCTGCAGGAAACAGAGGAGGAGGACGACAATGGGACAACAATGAGCGCAGAAGCCATGTAAGTTCTTCCCCTGCTGTGGGCACAGGATCAGACGGTGAAATTTAGAGAGGGAAGAATGGAAGGATGAAAACTGGCAATTGATGTAACCTAGCTTCTGCTAAGGCATTACCATTTCTACTCATTCATTTGGGCACTAGGGCTAAGCAGGATACTGAAGAGAAAAGAGAAATGGGCCCACAGCCCTCCCACTGCAAATCTACTTGCTTTGACCAATGCCCGTAAACATAAAGTAGGCACTTCAGAAAACTGGCCTTTAATGCATCTCAAAAGGCGGGCTAACTCTGCTTTGGACTGCAGCCCCTGTATTGCTCCATGTCACATCCTCTCACAACTAGAGGTGACCTGGCTGTCTAGAAAGGGACCCAACTCTTCTATCCACCAAGGGCTGCTTCCAGAGAGACCAGGGTGGAGTAGGCCTTAGCAGCATGAGGAGGGTTATAGGATGTTGGATGGATGAGATCCAATTGGGCAGGTAGGCAAGGGGCCAATATTTCCACAGGGCAATTAAATGCAGCCATGGTGAACCACATGGAGATGACACATGGTAAAGGGAAAACACCCCAGGCAAGAACACGGCAACAGCAGAGGCAAAGGGTCAGGTTGGGGAATCACCAAGTTGGAGTATGCTGAATAGACACTTCATTGTGGCAGAGCCTTCAGGATGGCATTCACTTCCTCTGCCACGGCTGTCAGTGCAAACTCAAACTGGTCCTGGGAATACAAAAGCCAAGTGTGTAAAGTAGCATGGGCATAGGCAAGAGTACCAAGGATTTGGGTCCCCATTTTACTTTTCTCTACCCCGCTTCCCCCTCTTAGAAGGAAGAAACGTTACCCCCTCTAATAATCTAACTATTCTTTTTAAAAAAGCACTTTAACTTTAGTTTGAACCCTTTAAACATATGTTCCGTCTCTCTTCTTTCTTGGTTGAGAGGTTCCTTCTTCCCCAGACTAGTATGATGCACTTAAAGATAATATTTGATATTTTTATAAATAGCTGGGACATTGATTTGTTATTTTGGACTACATTCCCTTAAGTAGTCAGCTCTTCCATTAAGAGGACTGCACAGAATTCTTGTGAGCAAGGAAGCATCAATACGTACCTTAGTCTGCACCACACCTGGTCTCTGGTCCCTCACATGCTCCAAGGTGGCTGCAATATCTATCTCCTTCACACCTAGTATAGAGGTGAAGAGGTAAAAATCAGAAATTGGTGAATAAGAGCTGTTCTATGGGGGCTTTGGGGATATTTGTATCTGCATAAACTCCACAATCAAAATATGTGAGTAGACACAGAAGAGGTTAAAACAAATGTAGAGTAGATGCCAGATAGAAAAGATGTGGTCTTCAAAGTGTAATTTGAAGGGATCTGACCATTTAATGATGGCAGTGTACACTGTATTTGCACTCTTGTGGAATTGGTATGACAAACTCTAGGGAAAAAGAATTACAGTAACAAGAACTTCAGCCAATATATAACTCCATATATTTGCTAAGTAGGTAGTAAGTAACTGATTTAATAGTAAATGTAATCTAATTTAATAATTAGTAAATAATCAGCTACATAAATCAATAAATACCTACTTTATGAAGATAGTGAGGAGGGCACAGGAGCTATCCAGTATATGGAATGGGGCATTACTTTGTCTACTGGACAAAATGTATGCATGATCTCTAAAAGAATGAACTCATTTCTTCAAGTTTATTGACAGCAAAAAGTTGAGAGAAGCAGAGAGGCTTTTGACAAATGCCTTTCTAAGGTCTTTAGCATGTTAACTTGTTGTTACACAGAATTAGCCTTTTGTGGGGAAAAAAAATATTAGTTGGAAGAAAAAGAAAATAAACAATTGGAAGGAATCAACATCTTGGGAAATGAACTATGAAAGGAATATTGAAGGAGGCGTTTCTATTTCAAGAGCATTATATCAAAATATACATTTTTAAAAAGGGCAGATTCTTCCCAGGAAGAAATCTGATGTGGACTCCAAAAAATCATTGCTGTTACTGCTCAGGTTGCTCTTATATTTATTTTATGTATTTATTAACATTAGGAATTTCTAAGGACAACAAAAACAAAATGTTCTCCAAAGAGACGTGCTTACGAAATGATTTCAAGTATTTTCAAATAGACTGAAAAAACTATTCTGATTGTAACAAGTTGTATTGCTGAATATCCTAAATTAAGGTTGTACAATTTTCTTTGGGTTGAGGATTTGGACTTGACCTTAAATAGTACATCAGGGGCTGCAAAAAGTGGATGGAGTCAAGAAAAAAGAATTCATGAAATATTTTTTTAAAAAAGTACAATAATATTCTTCATGCAGTATGGTAATTTTCTAATTCCATCAAATTAAAAAAAGCTAGATTTTGAAGGTCCAAAACTTTCACTGAGACATTCATTGTGTAGCTAACTGATCATAGAATCAATTAGTGAGAATGTAATCTTTTCTTGTCAAAATAATACCTCTACTCCGGCATTAGAACATAATAATATGAATGTTTTAGACTTTCTATCACTAATGTTCAGTATTAAAAAGAATTTAAGAGGATTCAGAAAAGTCTTGCATAGCTACCCAAACCCTAATCCAACCTGAACATCTGTTTGATAGTACACATTATTAAATAAAATATTATTTGAGAATTCTTTCACAGTGTATTAAATACGGAGGAAAAATTATTAATTGAATTTGACTTTTTATTTTTGATTTTTGCTAATATTCCTCACTAAAGTTTCCTGAGCAAAATTAGCAATTAAAGAATAAGAGAAGGATCAGTTATGGATGAACAACTGGCCGTGCAGCATAAACCTATACTAAGAATAATGACCAGTCTTTGTGATTCAAGGATCTCAAAGAATCTATGGTGGAGTTCATGCTGATTGGTTAATCTTAAATAACCAAATGTAAAATAATGAGCAGTGAGGTTGTAATTTTTTAAAATAAGAGATTATTCAGGTCTACTGAGAGAAAAGAAAGCTCTGGAGTAATATATTTATGATGTCAGTGAAGGGAGATTTTAAGCTTAGAAAAATGGAAAGTATGATAGAAACATGTACATATATATTATGTGAATGCAGAGGGAAAGCTTGTTGACTCTTATAATAACTAGAATCTGGGATCATCACTGAAATTAAGTAATGGGTGGATAAGTAAATAGAAATATTTCTTTACATAGTTAAACTATCCACTACAGCAGGATGCAGTAACTCAATTAATTGGAGTATCTTTAAGAAGGCAGGATACGGCTATCAACAGCAGGAATTAGTAATCTCGCTTTGGATTTCTCAAAGGCCTGTTGCTATGGGAACAGACTAGCTAGGCCATTTGCCTGCTGCACCAGACTGGACTTTCTTATGTTGAATTGACAGACTGTTTGCAGAAAATGGGTTTATATAAGTCTCTTCCTTCCACCGTCTCACCTTTTGCCATTCGGTTTAAAACCATGTCAATAAGAATGTATGTTCCAGTCCTTCCTGCGCCATCACTGTAAAAGACAAGGAAACACGCTTGAGGTTTCAAACAATAGCAGGCTACATAATCTTCACTAAGTTCAACATTGTTCTGACCTAGGCTTCCTGAGACAGTAAAAAGCACACAATTAGTCCCAAAAACCCTCTTTTTATTTCAACGGCTGCGAATTATGTTCATTCACAGCCTGTAATGAGTCACAAATAGTTTGTAAAGAGTTTGATAGAAGTCTGCCACAGTCCTTCGGGATAAGGCTGATAAGCACCCACCTTTATCTCCCTTGACACACTGCCAAAGACCTAATTGGCAATTAGCTTTGCAAGGCCACACAGAGCACAGAGTCAAAATGGAGTTTCAGAAATTAAATCGACCAGAACAAACAAAGTTGCTTCCTGCAAAGGCTCACGTGCCCTTGCTCCTCCTTGTCTTATGGCAGGGGCTAATCATCTCCAAGCCTTACTCCCGAGTCGTCCCTTTTGTCTTAACTGTTCTTGCCTTCTGGCAGCTCTGCACATGCACGCACTGGGAACAGACTCCCCCTGTTCCTCTGCCTCGCTGATGTCTGACTGGAGGCTCAAGAGGCAGCACATAATTCCCAGATGGCCCTGCCCCCCCCCCGCCTCTGACATGGAGCCCTCGTCCGAGCCTTCCCCAGACTCCAGGACTGGCCCATGTTCCTCCCCAACCTTCTCACTGTCTGACTCTGCTGCCAGCTCCGCAGGCTGCTGGCGGACCACAACAAACATGAGGAAGGTCTGGCTCATAGAAATCTTCTGATCTGCTGTAACTTCAATGATCAGCCTTCAGTTTTGACAGTGCTACTTAGTTCTTGGAAGGATGTTTATGAATCTGAATGGCAGGTTAACCTTTTCCTGACCAGATTTTTGAACTTGAGGAAATGCATTTGCTGTGAGGGACAAGATGCTGGCTCTTTGTCTTGCCTTGCCACAATATTTTTCATAACTTATTTATTTATTTGAATGTATTAGCTCCCAACTCCAATGGACTCTTATTCTTGTCACACACACCGGCAAAAGATCTCACATTCCTTGTGTGCTTGAAAAGTCCATCAAAGGAGAGCATTTTTTTCTTATGACATTTGTTCAATCCTCTTCAGTTTCTCCTAGTTGCTCTCCCCCATTATTCCTACTGACCAGGTTATTACCTGCAGTGCACGACGATTGGGCATGACCGGCCCCGGTAGCATTTGTTCACCTTCCTGCCGGAATAATGAGAGGATGGAATCAGATAGGTGAACTCTCAGGGAAAAGCCATGTGGATTAAGCCCCCCCCCCCCCCCCCCCCCCGCTTATCCCTGAACAGCCAAGCAGGAACAAGCATCAAGGAAAACATTCAGGAAACGAAAAGTATTTCACTTACAGCTGGTAGGTTGCAATCTAACATATGAAAATTGCATGTGTGGGGAACATTATAAAGTCACCTGGAAAACATTCATGCATCATCAAGACAGAGCAACTGGAACAATACCTAAAATGGCCAAATTATGTGTAGGGTTGAAATCCAGTAAGAGGCTAAGGAACTAAGGCAAAATATACCATATGCTAGTGTTCAGTTTATTTCCAACTAAACCAAGTGTGGATTTTCCATTGAAAATCACACAGGCACCCATTTATACACTGGAAATACTTGAAAATGCCAAATTGTCAAGAGAGTAAATAATCTATGTGTGAGGCGATCTTATTTTTGTGAACCCTCTGAAATTTGTCAACAAGTTGAATGGATTTGTGACTTCTCATTCATTCTCAGAGGAAAACAAAACATACCTAGGAAAAAAAATGTGTGTGCTTCTTTGTATGACTATCTAATGGAGATAAAAGATTGATGATATGGATCCCTTCTCTTATGACGATACCATTATGTCACATCTTGTTTGCAGGCTTTGGTTACCAACATATTAGAAAGAAAATATTGCTCTTGACTATCAGTATGTACGGTAACTTGCTCCTGTAGTAAATGACAGGTGAATCATTCTATTCACCAATCATCTTTTGTTATAAGTTCCTATTTTGGGGCAAGGCACTATGGTGTCCCCTAAATAATCCAGCAAAATGACATCATGCCAAAAAGTCTGAAGAGACAGAAGTCATCCATTATTTCCCTGAAATTTGATATGTTTAATCCTTTCCATTCAATAGCCTAAGTAGTGAAACCTGACAATGCCTTCAACAGGGTGGGGAGGGGTTGGAATATTTTTCTTGGTTGATTGTTGTATTGTTCCATGTCCCAAAGAAACCCTCCATGTTCTATAATATTGGAAGGCAAAAGAGGCAAAGAAGAAAAACCTGCCAAATGGCATTCAAACACAAACCTAATTTATTTTACTTGGAATTTGGTTATCTGGCTGCTTGTTTTCCCTTTTTTCCCCCTGTAGTCCCTCCCCCTAAATAACCTTCTTTTCCTATCTGGAGAGTTGGCTTCTCCAGTTGAAAAGGTTTCACTGTGTCTTATTAAAAGCTTTCTTTAATGGAAGACGGCATGAGTGGATAACTCTTATCTGCTTTTCATAATGTTCTGACAATTCAGATCCAAACTAGATCCGTTTCCCTGGAGCTGGGCTGAATGGAGGCCTTTGGAGGAAGAACTAAGAACTTCCCTACTGAATGGACTACAAATGCATGCATCAGGAAGGATTTAGTCTGACTGATGACAGCTTATTGTACTTTTTGTGTGTGCAAAACATGATGTAATTATTTTGGAAGTGGTTTATTCACCGTTCCTCCTAACATACAGTATGTAGCAAGTGAAAATTAATACATACAAATTGTTCAGAAGACCAGTAAAGTTGTTGGCATGAAATTCGCTAAATGTTTTCTTTATTATGAACACAATTTAAGTGAGCAGTGTTCCATTTCAATATCAGAGTGCTGATGACGGTGCTAATGATTTATTTGTGGACTTCTCCGCAGGCTGTCAGAATATCTAAAAGCTCAGTGGGTGTAATCAGGCGTATATAAAACCTTTTACAGTTGAATCACTTCCAGAATGCTCAACATTGCTTGTTCCAAGACCAGAAGGGCCCATTGTGAAGTCAGAACATTCTCTGACAGAACATTCTGCTCACCCCACGGTGACTCTGTGATACCACACGCCCTATATTTCTATCGTGTTCTTTGCTAGCAGACTGAAAAAATCTTTACCTACTCAGAAGAATCTTCCCCCCATGTATTTGCCTGGGTGTTGTCCTTTCACCCATATCAAGTCATATGATATATATTAAATGAAACTCGAAAAAAATATTTGAAAGTGATATTTAAGTTGTTTGGCTGCTGGTTATTCTAGGACAGTAGGGTCTAGGATGAGAAAGGGGGGCTTAATTCTACTGTACATTCTTTAAGTGTTGTGACATCTTTTGAGCACTGTGATGAAGAAATACTTAAATTCTGGTGCAGCATGCCAATTTCAAATTCAAAGATGGTCTTTTGAGTGATTTGTAGAACTACCATCCAAATAAGCAGTGAATAGCTGAAAATATATGCATGTTTTTGAATTACCCATGCTGCTGATTGGTAGGTTATAAGAGCAATCAACCAACTCCACTTTTACACGGATTGACAGCTGGGTTGGTGGAGACTTCAGGATTTTTTGCCCACACAAACCCATCCAAGGCTTTCAGGGTACGTCTCTCTCTCTGGCTTTGAACCTTCATTCATCCCTAACTATTATCCAGTGGAAATCTGTATAAGGGAGAGTACCAGGATCTCCCCTTTAGACTCAGTAGGACAAGAGAGCAGGTAATGGACACAACAGCAACCCAGGCCCTCTCCTGTTCCATGCCGCTGGCACAGCAGCCAATGATCACTTTTGTGACTATGCAACTGGGCCAGGATTACTAGCTGCAAATCACAAAAATGACACTGGCAGCTGTGAGGAAGAGAGGAAAGAGAGAGGAAGAGGAGGAGAAGAGGTGGTGAAGAGGCGAGCGCATGGTACAATGCAGTCAGAAAGACCTAACATTGCTCCATAGTGTATGTTCCACAAACCAAGACTTAAGAGGAAGAGGTACCAAGAGGGATAAACAGTAGTTAAATGAAGATCCTCTGGTTTTAATTTGCCGAGTATGTGCCCGGGGCTCCTCAAATGCTCAGAAGGAGCCATTGTACCTCCATGCCATGAGGTCCTTGCCTGCCCATTGATTTCCAAGCCTTGAAAGTCACATATACACAGAATGGCACATTTTTAAGTTGTTGCAATGCACAGATGTGACATTATGTTCCAGAGTTCTTCTTTTAACAGCTGTCTGATAGAACAACGCTACGTCTCACCCAATCCCAACTCCCCCCTGCATAGGTATTGAGCCAATTGCTGGCAGAGAGGGGAGGGGGGGGAACAGGTGAATCCAAGAAGAGAAGGAGCTTATGAGAGTACCTGGAAAGGACAAGATAGGGAATAAAAGAGATTAGAATAGTTTTGAAAACAGGAATCTAATGAGACACCAATCACGCCATCATTTTGTTCTAGGTTAAAAAAAAAAAAGGAATAAACCAATTCTCCGATTCCTGATCATGTTTTTTCAGCTTCCTTTGTCTTATATGTTTCTCAAAGTTAGCATAATCAGAGGCTTCTGGAGCAATTGGGACAAATATTGCTACTCTTGTGATTTTGCAAGAATCCTGCAACGGTATTGCAACCTACTACCTCTACCTTAGCATTCCCTGTTCGCAGAACCTTCTAAATAACATTCAAATTATGCCTCCCGACATGAAGATTTTTTGAGGTTCCTTTTCTCTTATATTATTGTGGCGGCATAGCATCTACATCACACAGGGCACTTTGAGTTGTGTTATTGAGTCTTGCTATGTAGTGCCTTTGTTTAGTATGGTGTTTTGCGATGCCTAACAGCAGTAGCGTAAACACTACATACAACTGAGCAGTCAAAAGTTCTTCATCTGTGAAAAACAACAACAGTACCAGATTTATCCTCTACCTCCATCTCCCTAGCATGAGGGGCCAAACATCTATCCACTCTGTAGGGCTCCAGGCTGGATTTTGCTCAGGTCTACAGCAACTGCCACTTCCAAGCAGAATTGAATTAACTGCAATGCATGGTCCCAGGGGGCTTAAGTGTTCTAGCTATTACAGGGGCTTCCAGCAGAACTAGTGCCCAGCTATTCATAAGACTTTTTTTTTACAGCAAAGATCAGGCTATTATTTCAGCTGCTGATGGTTAAAAGGAAATCACACCCTGAGCTTCCATGGCAATCTCTGATTGAATGAGACTTCAGCGATGGGAGTGAGGTATTTCATGGCTCTAGAAAGGCCACTAAAAGGGCCTTTGAGGGAGCTCTCTGGGAAGCAAGCAATAGAGGGGGTGTGAAGCAAAATCAGCATCAAACTGTGGTGATATTGTGGGTGGGAAGAGAACAAACTTTCACTTTATATTAGGTGAAGAGAGCCCCAAATCCATATCGCCATACTCTCTCCAAAGCTCACTGAAGCATGCCTGCCTCAGAAGAAAGGAATCAGCTTCTCTTCCTGGTTACTTGTTTTCAATTAGTTAGAATACACAGGCCTCATGGCTGCCTGTCGTGGGCCAACCCTTGGGTTTTCGGTCTCTGCGGCCAGCTTTCATTTTATAGCAAGGCTCCTAATATTGCCCAGGACCCTTTCCCTGACTGTTTTGCAAAAGGAAATAAGCGATGGGGCCTGGAGTATCTTCAGAAACTCGGCCAGGTCCCCACCCCACAAATCATGTCTCTCTCTCTCCCCCCCTCCCCCCAGTTCCCAATAGGAAGACAATATTCCCTACCTGCGGAAGTCAAGGAGAGGCCGAGTGGTGGTAGGAATGCCCTCTGCTGGCCAGCTGAGGAAGTGAAATTGCGTCAGAGTCCGTGTCTCCTGTGATTGCACATTCTTCAAGTAGAAACTGCGCACCAGGAAATCCTCACACCAGATGTGCTCTGAGACAAGGTTCACCTGAATGGAGATATCAGGATTTGGAAAGGGAGAGAAGAAGCATGGGATACTTGCAGCCAGCAGTCTCCTTCACATAATAAATCCTGCCATCTTGTTTTCCTGCTATTCTCTAAATACTTGATAATGTATTGGGTCTGTTAAAATGCCTTTTTCTGCCTTTCTTTTTAAAAGGCTAGAGCATAATAGATGCAACATGTGCCCATAATTTTGCTGCCCACAATCAGAATTCATGATGGCTTATCTAGATCATCATCAGGATTCAGAGGCTACTGCTTTTGAAAATGATATCTTTCAATTAGTCGTGGGCCATTCAGTGTGCCATTTTGAATCAATCCCCTTCTTCTACAGAATGGGAATTCCAGTCACTGCGATTCGATAACCATGTAACGTCAAATGATATAAACATTTTTCTGCTTTCTTCATATCGCGAGTAGCACTTTCACAATTTGATACATTATCCCACTTCCGACTCCCAACACTAAATGTAAAAAAAGAGCTGTATTGCTCAGGAAAGCTTCACAGTTTGTATAGATGGCTGTGGGGTCTAGGGAGGAAGAGAAAGAGAAGGAACATTTCCATGGTTTTTTTTTTTGTGGAGTGCCTGAAAATGAAGTATGCACAGGAATGAGATTAATTTCATTAATCTTCCACAGGAGTTTAATTTGCACACCCAGCTGTGTTTAGCCCAACTGCAGAATGCTCACACTGTTGGGAGCTACATCAGAAAAGGACATCATTGCTACCTCAGATACGGCCCTCTTCTCAGTGACTTCCCCACAGCGAAAGAAGAGGAACCTTTGCCACTTTTTGCTCAGCATTGCAAAGACATAATTGGTCAGCCTTACCTCATAGATGTGGTAAAGTGAGGATCCCTCATCGGGCCAATAGCGGTCACATTGCTTGACGCCATCCTCCACCAGTGGGGTGAGCATGACAATGACTGTGCAGCCATTCTCCCATACCATCTACATAGACGGGATAGGCAGGAGATTCAGCAATTATAATACTGTACTGTACGACTTCTCCACATTGAACGAAGTGCAAATGCCATCCCACATGTGAAAAGAGTGAAGAGACTAGTTCATGGAATGTCTCTGCCTCCAATTAAAACAAAGCAAACACAGACATTCAAATTTCCTTGGGCTACAAAGTCAGTGTGGAAATATATTGGGTATGTCTAATAAAATTCTAAATGGGAAGAGAGGAACCCAGCAGTTTCTCAGCTTCTCAAGTGTGACGGTCTATCTTTCTGATGCCTTACTTCTTATTAATTCATAACATAATTCAAATAAAACTGTACATTCATACATTCATGCTTTGAGGAGTTTGCCACTGGAGATGATCTAGCCGTAGTATTTCAATATGTTGGCATGGAGCACAATCCTGCCCTTGTTTCAGAATGAGAAGATGGACTCCATGCTCTTTATTGTCTATCTGCCATTCTTCTAAAGGCTTTGAATATATTGCCAGGGATTATAGAACCCCTGTGCCAAAGAAATATCAGTCCAAATGTCTGTTGAGATTCTCAGTCATCCAAGTCATTGTTCTCCCAAAGGTGCTTTTTTCAAAAGACAACTGGACTTTGTTCTGAAGCTTCTTGGATGAGATGCGAAACATCGTCAAGGAAAAACAAAGTCCAGTTGCCTTTTGGAAAAAGCATATTTGGGACTATCAGTCCAAATACCCTATCAGGCAACACAGGAATGCGAGCCTTTTAGAATAAACCCTTTCCATGGCCCTCTTACCTGCCAAAAATCAGCAATGGTGTGGGACAATGGACCTTGTGTTGCAATGTATGCTGGCATCCGTGGATCATGGTCAATCTGCAAAGAAACAGAGTATGAAGTAAAATAGCCTTCCTCCTCCTAGTGCTCTTTGAACGAGTATGGACTTCAATTCCTAGTTCTTCTATGCTAGCTGGGAATTCTAAAAGGGAAGGAACAGAAGAGAATTAGACTGGATAAAGTAGGCTCAAGGGGATGAGTTGTAGATGAATCTACATTAAAGATTTGCTATCACCATCTAGATCCGTGATGGCGAACCTATGGCACGCATGCCGGAAGTGGTAAACAGAGCCATCTCTCTGGGCACGTGAGCCGTCACCCGTTGCTCTTCTGGATTTTGGTGTGGCGGCCAGCTGGACTTCATGCATACGCCTGCATTCCGGTAACTGGAAGAGCAGCTGCCCAGCGCAGGCATCTTCCGGTTTCTGGTCTTCGCGTGCACATGCACGGCAGAAACTGGAAGACCAGGTGAATGGCACGCATGCATGCACTCGAAACCAGAAAATGCCTGTGCTGGGAGGCTGCTCTTCCAGTTACCACAATGCGGGCACAATCGTGTGTGCATGGTCCCATTTTGGCACTTGGTGCCAAAAAGGTTCTCCAACACTGATCTAGGTGTTTGGGCACACACCCAGGAATCTCTTAAGAGCTATGGAAGTTGATGTAGAACACATCTGATTGAGTAGTTATTTGACTTTGCTTATCAAATTCATTCTGGATAAAGATACTGCAATCGATCCACAGAGCGACCAAACTTGACTTTATGTTATTAGAAGTGCAATGTATTACTATGAAATGGTATTGCCTACAGTTAAATTATCCACCAGCAGCAAACTAGATGATCAAGATGAACTTGAATGAATTAGATTGAAGAATAAATAATCATGGCCAGCTTGGAGAGGAAAAAGAGAGAGAAAAACATCTGATCCAGAGAAACAAATGCTGTCCAATAGCACCCACCTATTGCCCTTAACGGAACACTGCTCTTAGAGAGACACTGTTTAAATCTTATATCCTTGATGGAAGGTAGGAAGAACGAGACACACAGAATATCTTTCTAAAGTGAGAAAATATGTAGACAGATTGAAAAAGGAGAGACTAGTTTAATGGATCAGTTGTCCAATTGGGAACCGCAAGACTTCACACCAAGAAGTGAGAAAGTCTATCTGCTTCTAAAAGGCAGGTGAGAGACAATTGTGAGGCCTGGCTAACAAATACATCCTGGGAACGGAAGGTAGAGCTGATGGCTGAAGAACAGATGGCATTACACCTTCAAAAAAATGATGAGTGTGGCACATTTAATCCAAAGTAGCAGGGCTGAGGGTGCTTTGGGACTGTCCTTTCTAGCTGAGCAATGACTGCTCTCAACTTGGCAAGATAGATGGCACAGGCAGCCTCTTAAAAAATGGGCCAGTGAGGCAGCATTTGGTTGGATAGGGAGTGCACTAGCAAGGAGAGGAACTTGGGTGTCTATCACTCACAATGGGGCTGGCATTAATGAAGTCACTCCGCGATGGGTTGCATTCCATTTTCAACTTGATGCGTGCGTGGTCATCTGGGAACAACAGAAAAAAACAAGGAGCTGATGGTCTAGTCTGGCTGGAGAAATCCATAGCCCCAGAATTGTATGTGACTTGCAAATTCTTTCCAAAATGAGGTTGAATTTCTGGGTTGGGATTTCTTAAAAAAAAAATCAGTAATATGAGTGTGGCTTCCCTCTATTTGTAGATTGGAAGCTTATGAAAAGAGCATTATTATCCTTTAAATAGGTTGAACATATTTAAGGAAAAAAACAACCCACCCCACGTCAGAGAAAGTCAGAAAATATGGCTCTATCTGCTCTTTGATGTGACCCTACTCAATGTACTGCCCATTTTATACCGGTGTCCCATATACCACAGTCTTGCTGCACTCCCTTCTCCAATGCCTAGTTAAGCGCAGGCCTATAGCCACCACAGTAGAACCAGGCACTGGCCACACTCCAAGCCTTCTGCTAAGCCAGCAAGGAGCAGGAATAAAATGGGACAATCACATCCCTTAGTGCCCAAAGGCAGTGCTTGTATGGACTCACAGGGCACATAATCTGGGTTGCGGTTCTTCTTGACATTGGCTTCATGCTGGGCAGCATCACAAGTGTTTGGTTCTGCTTGGTATGCACACATTGCTTGCCACTCTTTAGCCAACCTATCACGATTACGTAGATGGTCCTCCATATATGCCTGTGGGGGCAACAGAACAGTTGTCACATCCTGGACCTCTCCATCTTCCTCCCCCCAAAGAGATTACTGAGATCTATTGAAAGCATTTTCTGACTTGATACCTTCAAAATGTTAGGGGACTGAATTCCCAGAGTTGACAATCTCAATAAATCTGATGACTGTCACATTGCTGTCAAAATCTACGGCACTGTTTTTTACCTCAGCATCTTTAAGATGTGTGGGCTTCAACTCCCAGAATTCCCCAGCCAGCCATGTTGAGTTTACGATGAGTTTTATTTACCAGGTTTTAATTTCACTAAAAAAAGGAAATAAGTAAAGCCTCCGAAAGTCTTAATTCTTGATGATCTCACGTATACAGCCATGCAATCATCAGGCAGTAATATGGAACTACTTTGCTCTGGCCATTCTCTCCTCTCTCTAGAATTCCCTCATGGTCTCCAATCAAATCTATCCTCAGATCCAATCTTGTTTAGCTTTTGAGGTCAGCTGTGGTTGATTAAGTGGGGCCACTTAGTTGGTGTTTCATTTCAAAAATGGCACCAAGCATCTATGTCTTCTGTAAAGCTCCATCTGGCAAGTTTGCAAACCTCTGCCAAGCTGTCCAAACAGCACAAATATGTAGTGTGTGGGTGCTCCTCACCAGAATCATGTGTCCAGTGGAGATATCCATGTTGGACTGCACAGGCTCTTCACACCAAGATGGCGTGCTGCTGTGGGAGCTGGGACTGGCCTGGGGTGCATCGCTGAATTGCGAGGAGACACTGCTGACACGAGAGTTTTCGGCAGGAGCAGGGGGCGGAGGGGTTTCTGCACGGCCAAAGAGGGACTTGGCAGCCATGTGCTGTCGGCAGAGCTCCTGTGGGAAAGATGACCCAGCTACAGCAACCATGCACATGGTCACTCAGAGCAGACAAAAGATCGGAAAAGCAGGGAGTTGGACGGAGCCAAAAGCATTCCAATCATCCAAATATCCTTAATTCCTCCACTCAGAGATGCAAAAACAGTAGGAAAATAAAGACGTAACTGAGTTCACCTCAGTTCAATCCTCCCCAAGGAGCTAGGAGCCATGCCTAGCAGCCATCTGTCCAGGAAGCTTGCATTTGTATTCTGGCACTGAAAGAGAGGCTGGAGCCTTTCAGTTTTAGGAATGCGTTTACCCAACACTCTTAATCACACCAGTTAAAGCCTTAGTGGCTACCGCTGCATAATATGCTAAGCTGGTTAGGGCTTCTTTGGGGCTCTTATGCAATCTCAGTCAATTTGGAGGAATGGCTTCAGTAACTAAATGGAGGGTGCTGGGCATCCCGGCCTCTTATTTCTGGTGAACAATGGTGCTACATGTAGAGTGATCTTGGCAGACTTGGGGATGTCAGAGCTCCTCCCTGCGGTCAATCCCACTGGTACCTGGTATTCATAGGTGCTGTCGGTCGCTCCCTCTGGCCCCAGCCCTGCCAACCGCTCTTTCTCCCGCTGCTTGGCATGCTGGCGCAGACAAAAGACCACAGCAGCAGCAATGACGATGCCGGCCACACAGGCCAGTAACACAAAAGTGAGCAGCACCGAGCGGAAAGTGTTGCCAAAATGGGCAGGATGTGGGTAGGTTGCAGCTTCATTGCGCTGTGGAAAGACAGGCATAGAACAGGTGAGCTTGGGATAAATAAGGACGCACCTCCACCAAAGGCAGATGGTGCAAAGGGTCTAGTCCAAGATGGGAGATGGTAGCCCTTCAAACGTCACTGGGCCCAATTCCCAGCAGCCTCTGCCACAGCATGGCCAAGGGTAAAAGAGGAGTGGCAATTGTAGTTCCACCATATTTGAACAGTCACAGCCATCACTGGTTTAAGCTAGATGCTTTGCTATTAGTTGCCATTCCATCATCCTGGTATTGTGGAGCTTTATCAAAACCGCTACTGCTCACTGCTGACCTGTTCTCTCCTCAGGCTCTGTTCCACCCCATCACTAAAACCTGGAACCTTTGCTGAATTCTCATTCTATGCTTTCCATATTTTGCAGCCAATGCCTTTCTTCTTCTTCTGTGCTAGGAGCTGAACAATTTATTTAGGAGGCCCATCTCTTCTCCTGGTTTCAAGTCTCCCTTAACTCACAAAAGCAGCCTTTCCAAACAGGCAACTTGAAGGCTTGGCTTATGAGTCAGAATTCTCAGAACTCTCTCTTGGCCAAACACTATCCAAGCTTTAAAATGCTATGAGGTCAATCACAGGCAAGTCTTACCTGTCCTACACCCATCTGTAGGATCTTTACTCCCACCTCTGATTCCAGCTCTGACTTCACCAGGGCTAGAGGAAGGATAGAAATGAACAAGCCATACTAGAGGACGGAATTTGGGCATGAGCAAAGCAGCAACTGAGTGAAGAATAGAAACTGGGAGAAACTGAATGAACAAGAAGCTATGGGAGCATGACTTCGAGATCGGTCCGTTTCTGTTTGGCATGGTGGGGTTACAACATGAGTAGGAAGGATAATACTATGATAGAGGGAGGTCCTTTGCTCCCTCTTTTATGGACCCCAAAGTCACATAACAAACAAAATAAAGCAAAACAGCCAAGCAAACCTGCTAGGCTGAATATACCTTTCCTGAAGAAGAGAACTTTCAAAAATAATAATATCTGATAATAATATCAGTGATACTGATAATAAAAGTAATAAAAATAATAATAATAGTATGGCTCCAAGCTCGAAAAAAGCATGCTAATACCCACTTTGGCATAGAAGGTATCCTGCACCTATTAAATAGGATATTTTAGTGTCCTGATAAGTCTAGGACACAGAATCGGTATAATTGTGACTGCTGATTTGCTCTCAACTTACCTGCCCTATTGGCAACATCATTCAGAGACAAATTTTGATGGTTTTGACGGATGCGGAATGTGAGAGCTGGACCCAACACACTGAATAAGGAGAGATTTGAATTTAGGATTCTGCTTTCACTAACCACATCATTCAGTCAACAAATGTGCTTTTTTTGACCATTCCTGCAGGATGCCTCTGTTATAGCTACCAATCTTAATTCTTTACAATGCCCTTTACATAAGGATATCTTAGTTTTCTTTTCATTCATGTTTCTGCCAATCAGCCAGGGGACCCAGAATGACACAAAGCCCATTAAGTGATTTGTATGATTGCTGTTGCCAGGGAGATGGGGGAGGTTATTGCTTTTTGTATTATTTTTTTGGAGGGGGGTTATCCTAGTAAACTGCCTGGAGTCACTGAGAGTGATTTGGGAGGCCACAAATTTTTTCTTAGATAAATAATTAACTCAGAGGTTGATAGTTTTCACTGAATGTGAAAGATCTCAAGTTGGGCCTTAAAGCCCAAATTACAGTAGTTCAAAACCTACTGTACAGGTAGGTACTGTACAACCTACACAGTTGCTAAAAAAGGTCCCTGCTCATATGCACAAGGGTTCATTACTTAAGAAAATAATTAGCCCAATTCTGTTGAGATGTAACAAAGAAAAGACTTTGTGTTAACAACCCAATAATGAGAACTCCCCAAATAGGAGATATAGGGTAGGAGACTGTATAATTCATTCCAAAGCAATGTGGGGCCCTATAAGTATGTTGGGATAGCCAACTGGCTACATATTCTGGAAGTTACAGTCCTAATGTATTGAGGAGCACTAAATTGGGGCAAGTTACCTCAAGGGTACAAGGAAGTCCTTGTAGACTGCTCATTATGAGAACTGCATCACACTCTGGCTAGCTATGTCACCAGTACTTCCTCTGGTTGTTTCTCATTAGATTCCTTCCTTTCCAGAGCCACTCCAAATAATGGCACACTTCAGATTCTTGTGGATCCCTAGATCTCAGCTAAGCTATATCACTTACCTGATATTGATGAAGCTGGTAGTAGATAAGTGAACACGTTCAGCCAGGGTCTCAAGGAGATGAATGCCAACAGCAAGACTTAATGGCCTGCAGGCAGTAAAAATGCAGTCGGTCAAGACTTAATGGCAAAGCATGTAGAGAAGTGAGTGGGTTAATAAACAGCAGATAAATAATATCTTTAAATAATTAATTTTAAGATGTGTGAATTTCAATACCCAAAATTCCTGGAAAGTGAAGTCTACACATCTTAAATTTGCCATGGTTGGGAATCCTTGCTTTGGGTATTCCATCTTGGATATTAATCACCCCCTGGCATAAACCTTACATAGTCATAGATCTTCTGCTGGTAAAAGTACCTCAACCATGTTAGCCATTTGTGGGGTTCATATCTGATTTATTGAAGTATCACAATAAACAAAAGAAAAATCTGTATAGCTTGTGATAAGTGAACCAAACATAACCGGGTCACTCATTAACTTCTACAACCTTTGATTTTATCATAGCACTTCCCTGTATGTAGAGAATAAGGAAAATAATCTTGTTACTCAGACAACAGGGGCTGAAACACTGGGTTTAAGTCCAGAAAAATGAGACAACATTTGGAAGTGGCTCAGACAAAGACCTCCCTTATTCACTGAAGGGGAGGAGGTACAGTACAATCATACTTGCAAGGGTCCGATATCATAGCCCCGTGATGGCACGCAGAACAATATCTGTGGGCACGTGAGCGTTGCCCTAGCTCAATTCCAGCACACATTCGCGCACTAGCGAGCTGATCATCAGGCCTTTTGGGCCCACCGGAAGTCGGGAAACGGGGGTGGGGAAGGCTGTTTTTGCCCTCCCCAGGCTCCTAGAAAGCCCCTGGAGCTTGGGGAGGGTGAAAAATGGGCCTACAGGGCCCACCGGTAATCTTTTTGCCATCAAGGGCCAAAAGTGGGGGGAGCGTGGGGGGGTCGCGCACACATGCACAGAGGGGAGGGGCGCAGGGGGGCATTGAATTATCAGTGTGGGCACACACACACGTGACCCCCCTGCACTCCCTCTGCTTTTGGCATGCAACGGCAAAAAGGTTAGCCATCACTGTCATAGCCCATCTCAGTCAAAGTAGATTTGTCCATCATGTGGATTTGATTTTGTAGCCCAGCCTACTTACTGGCGCTAACATCCTGGCTTCCAAGACCCCCCATTCCACCTTATCCCACTCCTCTAATTTGCTTGAATTGTCCCACTTATGTTAATTATATATATTCAGCACAATAATTGCATTCAGTTATCACACTGAACCATACTTGATTTTCACCATGATTTGTTGGATAAGCTACAAATGATCAGAGTAAGTTTTTTAGTAATTTTAATTAATCAAGGCATGCTCATCTAGTTCCTTCATTTGCTTTCTCTTCTTTTTCAATCTGTCTTTTTTGGGTATCTTTTTGAATTAGGTATTGACTGGAACTAAAACGCTAGCCAAGAATAAGCCAGAAAACCCAACAAATCCTGTGTTCAAAAGTTGTAGGTTATATTAATCCACAATTGCAATTAAACCCAATATGCAACCAGACTTTGATATTGCAGAAGACTACTTTGTAACAAACCATAATTTATTCATTGATTCTCTTTTCCATGCCACACCAAGTGAAAAATAAACCAACCATAGTATGGCTGAACACGGTGCATATATCCAATCACTATGCAGGGGCAAATGAGAGTAATTATTATAAGTATCACCCTATTATCTGCTGGAACCAGTGGTGGGTTGCCCCCCGGGTTCGGACCGGTTCCATAGAACTGGTAGTAAAACCGGCGGGAGGCTCCGCCCACTGACCTGGATGTCATAAGTGATCTGCGCATGTGCAGAAGCTTCTGAGGATGTACAGAAGAGCGCACGCGAGCGCGAGTTAAGCAAGTGCACGCGGGCACGATGCGAACCGGTAGTAAAGGTAAGTAGAACCCACCCCTGGCTGGAACTTGTCAATAGGCAGCTCAGGTTTCTCCAACTTGGAATTTCTCCAGATACATTCATTTTTAATTAGGCCCAGACAGCCTGGACTAGCAGCCAGCCTAGCCTAGCCTAGCTGTGGGGTGATGTAGAATGCACTGATCCAAATCCATCTCATACATGTATGAGTCAAGTGCATCCACACCTTGAATAAACCAAGCCATACAGGTAGTCCTCAACTTAGGACCATAATGGAGCTTGCCCACTGTGGTTGTAAGTCGTCATCACAGTTGTAGGGCAAGTCATTCACATGACCAATCCAGTTTTTACAACCTTTTTTTGCAATAGTCGTTCTGAAAAACCACAAGTAAATGCCAGTTTTCTGCAAAAAAGGCCGCAAAAGATGGTCACGTGATTGCGGGATGCGGCAAATGGCTGCGAATGCAGGCTGGATGCCAAAAGCCCAAAATAGTCACATGACCAGGAGGAGGGGAGGGGGAGACAGTCGTTGGAATTTCAGACTTGGGGAATCTGTAGTAACTCTGAATGGTGGCTAAGTGATAGGTCATAAGTTGAGGACCCACCGGTACAACTTGCCTTTCTGGATGTGCCCAGGGCCGGATTTTCCTATAGGCTAACTAGGCTTCAGCCTAGGGCCTCAAGATCAAGAGGGGCCTACATTCAAATTGTTAGCAAAATTAAAATTACACTTTCACTATAGGTGAAAGGGCCTCATAAGTGGAATAGCCTAGGGCCTCTTTTCATCTAAATCCGGCCCTGGATGTGCCCATTTGTTTTGCCCCTCCCTCATTTCCCTGAACACACTCTTTCTCTCACTTCTGGTCTGTGACGACGTAGCCATATTCCTCTGCTGCCAATGGCGTCTCTGGCTGCTCCTCATCCTTACTGAGTACACCTACTACCATGTGACTCTTCTTCATCATCGCCACCTGCTCCTCAGTACTGCTGGTATCACTTTCTGCTGGGCTTAAGGGCTTGTGCGAGTCTGGGGGAGATGTTGTCATTGACATGGGGGCCCCAGTTGAGCCAAATGTCTCCCAGTGTGCCTGAATTTGCCCCTCTGTGGGAACGACACTGACAGAGTCTTCTTGAGACGGGACTGGCTCTGGCTCGTCCCCATGTTGCATTTCTGCTTCTGTCACCTAAATGAAGATGGAAAGGTCACTCATCGGCATTCAACACTTCAACCAACAACCCACAGCTATCTTGATAACTCCTGCTTGTTACTACAGCCAGCCTTGCAAATTCCCTTCTCAAACTCTGCCTCAGGTTGCTGGTTCCATCCTCAAGTTTGAATTTGTAACGATCTGTTCTCTTCCTCTTCACAAGAGCCACCTATGTTAGAATTGGCTGGGGATGGTTGTTCTCTGATGGTGCAGGCAAACTATAGTCTAAACCTGGCCCCAGAAAATCTCCAGAGTATCTGCCCAAGTGGACAGGGCCAAATCTTTTGGCCTTATTTCAGTGGGAGAGAATGAATAGGGAAGTGTTAATATGAAAAATATCAGTTGATCTCTTTGAACTCTTCCCCAACCTTCTACGAAATTGGGCAAGCCACCCACACTGGCTATGTTCAGAAACAACTTCCATCACTCTCCACATTTCCTGTGGCCTTTGGAGACTAACAGCTTCTCCCTCAACTCGCAAAAACAAAAGTGATTCTGCCCCACGTACATGCAAGTTGCCCAGTTGTGTGTTATGGCAGGAGAAAAATCAAGTGTGACTTAGCGGGATCTACTTCTCAAATCCAGATGTTGGCTCAAGTACAGTGTATCCTCCAGGGACTAATCAGAAAGCACATTTCAATGTTTTGGGATGAGGGATTGTAGAGACCCAGAGATTTCCATGTATATCGAGAAGTTGGTCAACTTACCCGCTTGGATTCTGGAGCCTCCTGTTCAAACCTACCAGCTAAGGAAAGAATTAGAGAAGAAAAGTGCTTATTATCTAAGGTGAGGAAAAAAACAATAACTTTAATGTGTTTATTTTCAAAGTAGTGAAGTAGAAATTAACAATCTATAACTTTCTTCATGTTGTCAAAGTCCCATCATCCCCAGCCAGCCTGGCCAATGGTCATGGCAGTCACAGTCCACCATTAGAGAGTTACTAGTTTCCTACCCTTGCACTTAAGGGAAGACATTCTGCGGAGGTTCAAGCATGTTCTCTGATTGCCATGTCATAGGCTCCAGAGCTAAAATACCAACAGAGGAAAAACAAATTCTGGGGTGAAGCCAGCACAAATTTAAGCCTGGATTGCATGAGCTAGCACAGGGACAGCACAGAATCTCCTCTCTTCAGATTCAGCCCACAGAGTTGCTATTTTACATCCAGACACAAACCTTCCTCCAATCTCTCTCCTAAAGCTACAAAACCATCCCTCCTGTCTCTTTCTGTTCCAAGTCCTCATTCCTACTCACCATGTTTATTGGGAATCTGAAGGAACTGAATTACGTCCTGTGGTTTAATTCCATAGTTGGCAAATATTGCTGTAAGTCTCTGAACAAGTCTATCTGCGGATAGAAAGGAAGGGGTCGTGTTTTACTTCCGTAGCCTAATTATCACCAAGGTTTTCAAACCACGATAAATAAGCTAGATGATTCTTAGAGGGCCACTGAAAAATAAGAAAAGTCTCACCTGGCTCGGTTGCATGTGCTTGAGACTCTGCTCTGTTTTCAAGGTTGTTACGACTGTCCTGTAGAGGATAATCTATCTTGGGATCTTGCTTGTTCTCAGCCCTGTTTCTGGATTTACCTGTCTGTTCCTGGGTTAAGTAAAGTGCCCCCAGGTCTTGGAAAAGTTGACTTCCATCCAGCCCCTGCTGTTCCCTATAGAAAGGAGCAGTACTGGCGCTCATGAAGGCTTTGGAAGGAGCTGCTTGGTCTAAGAAAATGGGAGACTTTGGGTTGTGACCACCAGAACTGCCCTGGAAGGTGCCATCTGGGTAGCTGAACTGAAGCAAAAGTACATAGAAAGGCAATTTAGAAACAAATGAAGCCAGTTGTCTTAAATTGAGTCACAATTCTGATCAATCTAGCTCCGTGATGGCGAACCTACGGCATGCATGCCTGAAGTGGCACGCAGAGCCATGTTGTCTGACATGGCCCGATCCTCTTCCGAGTTTCTGGTGCGCATGTGTGCATGACGATCAGCTGGCCTTCGTGCGTGCGGCAGTGCTGGAAACTGGAAGAGGTGGTCTTCCGTTTTCCTGCGTGAGCATGCGCGCTGGCCAGCTGATTATCATGCATGCGTGTGCACCAGAAACTTGGAAGACTATCTGGCGTGCATGCATGCGCAGGAAACCGGAAGTTAATTTTTGGGCACGCGCATGCACCCTGGGCAGCTCCTCTTCCGGGTTGCGGCCCAGACGAGCGTGCGCACACCATCACTGATCTAGCTCATTGTTTCATTTGCAAGGGCTCTCCAGGTTTCTGATATGAAGCTTCCCCAAATTTTTTTGGACGTAGCAAGAGCTATATTGCCAAATTAAACTTTCCTTCACTGAATTTTTCAAGTCACCAATAAACCCTATTGGCATAACACTGCCACTCTATTCTCTCTCTAAAGTGTCTGCTCTGGCTTTCTACGAGAGGGTGGTATACTGATTTAGCTTTGCAGGATATGTTAAGCAAAGCCATTGGAGAAACCCTCTGATTTTGCTCCCCTCCCCTTTTTCAGTGTCACCACCCAGGAGGAAACCATCTGCCAATCACAACATTGTTATGATTGGTAAATGGATTTGACAGATAGCTAGACTTTAGCCATCTGTCAAAATCTGGTACCGAGACAGATGATCTATGAGGTGACAGAGGCTGCCTGTTAAAACAGGAGAGGCTTCTCTGGGCAGCCCCCACAGCTGCAGGGTGGCACAAGCTGACACACTTCTCCTGCCTTCCTTGTCAGCCCTAGTTAGATGCAAATAGGGAAAGGACCTGACACTGTTTTTTTTGGGTTTCAGACAGGAATCTTTCTGAGTTTCCTTAAGAATCCTAGGAACCGAAGTTGATTTTTTGGAGCACCATAACTTAGTTACAGAGTGCCTTGCATTTATAGGCCCTGTAATCAATGTTATAAAGAGGGCTCTTAGATAATATTTAGAGTATTATTTCATATATGAGATAATAATAAGAGCCATGGTGGTGCAGTGGTTAGATTGCAGTATTACAGACTACGTCTGCTCACATTGCCAGGAGTTCAATTCCCTCAATCCTGACCAGGTGAAGGTTGACTCAGCCTTCCATCCTTCTGAGATCGGGAAAATGAGGACCCAGATTGTTGGGGCCAATTGGCTGGCTCTGTAAACCGTTTCGAGAAGGCTGTAAAGCACTGTGAAGCAGTATATAAGTCTAAATGCTATTGCTATTGTTACAAAGAATCATGAGATGATCCAATCAATAGCTTGACTCTTTGTTCCTGCATTCTTCTGGGAAAGACCTATTATTTTAATTAATGGAACTGTTTTTAAAAATAAAAAAAGTGGATGGGGAACCCGTGATCTTCTAAGATGTTCATTTCCAAATCTTATTAACCCCATCCAGCCTGATAATGTGATTATGGTGATTAGGGCAATGATAGCCCAATAACATTTGGGGGGGGGCACAGGGTTCCAACCAATGTAAAATAAGCAAGTCCTACAGCATCATTCCCTAACTCTGTGCTCTCCGTGTGCATTGAATCCAATTCATTCACAGTCAGTAAGCGGGCTGAGGTTATTCTCTTTGATGCTCAGTAGCTTTATTAAAAGACACACACCTGGTAATGAGAGTAAGGAGACAGGAACGCATTCTTGTGACCTAGCTCAGGCTGAGAGGCCAAAAGCAATTCCAGATACCTCTGCAGGAGTGCTGGGGGCAGAGGAGGTTGGTGAGCTCCCTGAGCGGAGGAAGGCTGAGATGACAAGGAGGGTCTCCGGGGAACTAGGTGAAGAGGTGGCAACCTGTAAAGGGGACATTCCAGGGTAAAATGTCTGTCCATCCACCTACCCATCCATTAACTGCCTTATATGTCATTCCATTTGGGAAGATTCTGAGCAGTTGTTGTGTTTAGATGTAAATTGGGGATCAAAAGTTCCCTATTTCTAGTTCAACAATTTCTGCATGGTAACTTAGGGTCATACCCAAAGCCCTGCTCTGCCAGTGTATCTTTGATATGATCAGCGCCAAATTATAACAGGGCCCACAGAGTCCTTCTGGTTAGAGGGCACAATTTCATTCTGCTTTTTAAGTAGCCAGCAAAACGCCTCTGATGCAAGTGTGGGAATTTGAATTGCAAAAGCTGTGCTCCTCCCTCACTGTAATACTGATTAGATTGTGGTCCAGGCACCAGCAGTGCATACTGCAAACATCGGCTGAGACAAAAAGATTATTTTCTGGCAGGTGTGGAACTGGATCACAATAGGGAGCAGAATAGAAACTTCCTCTTCTTTCAATCAAATCCTCATCTTGGCAATTTATAACAAAAGCAAAAGGAATGGCGCCCCAGATCCGTCTGCCTCCGAAATTGTCTGCCTTCTGGAAAAGTCTGAAGACAGAGCTCGATGCCACATACAGGCAGTCCTAAATTTATGACCACAACTGAGCCCAAAATTTCTGTTACTAAGCAAAACATTAATGTGAATTTTGCTCCATTTTATGACCTTTTTTGCCACACTTGTTAAGTAAATTGCTACAATTGTTAGGTTAGTAAGGTGTTTGTTAAATCAATCCGGTTTCCTCATTAACTTTGCTTGTCAGAAGGTTACAAAAGGTAATGACATGACCCTGGGACATGGCAATCATCATAAATACATGCTAGTGGCCAAGTGTCTGAATTTTGATCACATGATCATAAAGATTTATATAAATATAAATATAAATATATAAAACTGGGCATGGGTGGGAATGGCCATGGTGGGTGCAGCCTAGTCGGACGCCTGCACCATGGTGGGGAGTGGGGGTTTGCCTTCCCCAGGCTCCAGAGGTTTTCTTTGAGCCTCCGGGAGGGCGAAAACTGCTTCTCCCAGGCTCCGGAGGCCCTCCAGAGGCCAGAAACAGGCCAGTTTCTGGACTTCCGGAACCTCCGGTAGGCCCATTTTTTTGCCCTCCCAGACCCTATGCACGGCCCCTGCACTTACCTGGAATGATGAACAAGCTGCGTGGAGACTCCTGGGAGGGGTGGGGTGGGGTGGGAGGGCCGGGGTGCACGTGGCAGCCAGGGGTGGCATTTGGGGGTTCTCTTCCATTTTATAATCCTTATTCATTCTATACTGTGGTTTGGTATGTTGTTCCATTGTTCCATTTTTTAAAAATATTATATCCTTCCCCTCTCACATCCAGTTGATATTTGATTCACATCTTGGTTGTCTTAATAGTACAATCCAGTATAATCCTACTTTCATTCAACAGTAAACTCTACTGACTTCAGTGGAACCTTCTCCCAATTAGGTATTCTGCAGCTTATCCGAAACTAGATGCCTTCAGATGTATAGACTTTCAACTCCCAGAATTCCCCAGCCAGTGCTGATGGTCATTGATGAGAATTCTAAGGTTTGAAGTCCAGGCATCTGAAAGGAAGATTGGTGAAGGAAGGATATGGAGATGCTAGGTTCTTGGCTTGATGATCAATACACTACAGCAGTTTTTTAAAACAATTTTTGCATATCATTTACACATCATTACACATCCTTCTGCTGAACAGGCAGGTGGTTGTACTAAAAAAGACAAGGGAGATGGTTTATTGTTGAGTGCAACCTAACATTAAACAGCAGATATTTGCTAAGAAACAGCAGCAGCTACATCCCAAACTATTCTTCCTACCTATCCTCAGCTGCAGAATTCCATGACGATGGAAGGTAAAACCTAGGGATGTGTTCCATCTCCTGGGCAATCACATACTGTGTAAGGTTATCCTGCCATGATAAACCTGATATGGAAAATAGAAAGTTGAAATAAGTTAGTACACGGCCACAAAAACTGAATATTGACTCGAATGCTGAAAAGATATATGTCCTCTGATTCAGGAACAGGCAACTCAATAACCTTGAGGTGTTTTGCCTTATACCTCTGATTTCTTGTGGTTCTCCATGCAGGCCAAGAGTTCAAAACATCTGAGAGAAATTAAATTATCTATCCCTACTCTAATCACTGAAGAAAGCTGAATTCTAGATATGATAGATTCCAACCTAGCAACTTGGAGTAAACATTTTAATCAATGGCAGACATTCATACGCAAAGTTTAAAATAAGAGAGATTTCCAAAAACTTGGCAAAAGAGGCAGGATTTGAATATATCTCTGTAGAGAACTGCAGCTCATAAAAGTTAATGCTTTTAGTAACATTTGTTAGTTTGAAAAGGTGCCACCAGATTCCTCCTGGACTTTGTATTATGAATCTGACACAGAGAAAAATAATGTTTTTGACTATAGTATTAAGGGTGGAAGGAGGCACTCAGAATCTTGCCTGATGCAGGGATAGCTCGCTTTCCTATCCTATCCTATCCTTAGCTTTTCTCCTCTAACTGCTGATATTCACCTTGTGCCATAAGATGCCGTAGAATATCTTGCAAACGCTGGAGCACCGGTGTAGTGACTTGAAAGTAGGGCTGGTCTCGCAATGAACTTTCTTGGCACTGGCCAAATAAACCATCTGGAAAGACAACAAATTCACAGGATAGTTGTCTACATGTACTAGAATGACAGGGGTGGAGTGGGGAGAAGGAGAAAGGAAGCACCCAATAATACCCGATACTAGATACAATTTGCATGGTGGGCTGTATATGGACCTTCTCTGACGATCCACTAAAAACTAAAAAGGTTTGAACAAATTATACACTTCTTCAAGTTCTGAGGACTTGAGGCTGCAGATTTTTCCAGAAGTAAGCCCTCTTGCACTCATAGGGGCAAGCATTTAGGTTAATGTGCGCAATAACGAATAATTAACAATGGGGGGGGGGTGTCTCAAATTGAATTGCCACTCAAAGGAATGCTGGGATACGTAGCCTAGTAATGTGGGGATCACACAGATCCCCACCCCCAGTATCTGATGAAACAAGAAAAGGAAAATCATTGTTTTCAACAGCTAAGCAGGCACTCTTGAACTCTTCTTCATTTATTTACTCAGGAAGACTGATATTTCTATATGGCTGTAATATATAGATATGTAATATATGTAAAATAATAATACTAATAACAACAACTGCCTATATACGCAAGACATTATTTTAATAGCTCTTAGGTCCTTGATTAGGATTTGAGCTGTTAAGTTTTTACTCAATCCCTGACTGAATTGAATTTAAGATTAAATCTTAAATAATAATAATAATAATTAATATGCAACCCAAAGGACAGATCTAATATCAAAGGCATACATCAACACTGAAAGAAGTTGTCTCAATGAATGAGGGGAAGAACAGACCCTACTGTTGACTTCCCCTCTCCCTGCATAAAACATGAATTCATAGGCTCAGGAAAGGCAGCTCGCATCTTTCCCCAGCAACAGGCAGGAGTTACCTTCCCTCCCGCCATTTTAACACTTTTGATTGTCTTCTAGCCACAAACCCCCTGTGCTATATTAATTTACCTTGCACACAGACTTCCTGCTGAGAGCATAGCCTCCTGTCAAATAAGCAGCCTGCAGGGAAAAAAACACAGAGAGATAGAAAGGAAAAGAAAGATAAGAGTTTTTTTCTCTAAAACGTGGATAGTTCTTTTAGAAATGATGTTATCTCAGATGACTACCGTATTTTCAGTAAAGGCTGAATTTGATTAAGCAAGTATCAATTGTAAGCATTAAAATTAACAGTAAAATGGTTTTATTTTTTTATTTTTTTGCTTTGTTTTTGGCACCACTGGTAGCTTAGAAATTCAATGATGCAGTTTTCTGCAATATTGTGATAGAAGTACACACACAAAAAAAAATCTAGAGAAATCCTAAAATTCCCCAATGTCTTCAAGAGTCCTCATACAAGTCTATTATTTAATTTTTTGAAATACCCACCATGGTAGCTAATCTGCACATCCTTGTGGCAGCCATGGTCTCTGAGTATCCACATGTTTTCAAAATGTCAAAGGAGCTATTGGCCCTCCCAAAATAGGAACCCAAGATATAACTTCTAAATAAGTTGAACTTAAATTTTAAAAATTAAAAAAAAAAAGTGCGAGCAATTCTTAAACCCTGGAAAGTCCTGGCATTGGAGGCATTTCCATTGTGGAAATGCCTCCATTGTAAAAAATCTCTAAGCATTTCTCCAATGAGAAGAGTGAGTTTCAAGCTGTTCTGTCCGCTTTACATTGAAGTACCTGAATGATGTTCATTGAGAGATAGACAAAAAGATGCTTCTGCAAAATCTCAACAATCATTCAGAGAAAGGATAGAAATTCACACATTAATATCTACTGCAAACCAAACACCACAGAAACTGACAGATGAAGCAAGCCGAAGAAATGGACTTGCACTCTCATTTGATGGAAATATATTTTAATGGGAGAATAATGAGACAAAAGAGCTTGGTGGCACAGCAGACTAATAGCCTGTTATTAATATTCAGCTGCCTGCAACTACTGCAAGTTCGAATCTCCCCAGGCTCAAGGTTGACTCAGCCTTCCATCCTTTCTAAGGTAGGTAAATTGAGGACCCAGTTTGTGGGGGCAATAAGATGACTTTGTATAAATATACAAAAGTATGAAGGCTATTGCTTAATGCATTGTAAGCTGCCCTGAGTCTCCGGAGAAGAGCGGCATATAAATCAAATGAAAAATAAATAAATAAATAAATAAATAAATGTCTTCATATGCATACTTACATTTAATTTTTTTTATATCTGTTTGATTTCTTGTCTATACTGTACAAAGGCAATGTATCTATCAACCCACACAAGGTTGAAACACATCTAGTTAGTCATGTATATTATTAGTATAACAAACAACTGACTTAGAAAAAAAAAACATTGCTCATACGTATAAACTTCTTGAGATTTAAAATAGAAGAAGAAGAAGTTAAACAGTAAATAGATTAAGAATTTTGGTTTTGGATCAATGGGAAAGAATGTGTTTAAAAACACTGAATTCCACATTGTGTTAAAATTTAAGAGAAAATTTCTATGAAATGATGCTCCACTGGTATATGATACGAGAGAAATTATCCAAGTCTTAGATTCTTAGATGTATAAAGAATGTATAATTCTAATCATTGTTGAAAATATGGAAAGCATGAAGGGATATTTTACCATTCATGGCATTCTTGTGAAAGACTGAAAAAAAACCCCTGCAAATACATATGATGAGGCTATTGGAGTAGAATTCACATCTTAATACAGAAGATTCTCAAAGTGAATTTAAAAATAAAACCAGAAACTTTTCTTCTGAGTTTAATGGAAAAAGACTTGGAAAAAAATTGGAACTTTGATGTTATAAATGTTGACTGCAGCAGGATTACTTGACACACAAAAATGGAAGGACCCTTTGATTTCTACAATGGATGAATGGCTGCAAAAGTTGATGGAGTTAGCAGAGATGGCCAAATTAACTGCTTTGATAAATGAAAAAAATAAAATTACTTTTGTTTCTACTTGGAAACCGCTTCTGGGCTCTGGACTTGAGGTAGGGGAAAAAATTAAACTTTGATTTTTGGTTTTACTGATTAATAGGTTATAAAAATTATAGAAATGGCTAGTTTATAATATTATGTAAAAGAAAAATGTTGAGGTTTGATGTTATTATCTTATTCTACTGCACCAAAAGGAGTCAGAAGTCAATGTCTTTTCTTTCTTTTTTTCTCCTTGCTCCACACTTTTCCTTTCTCTTTTTCCTCCTCTATTTTCTTTTGTAGTTGTTATTATATATTATAAACCAATAAATAAATAAGCAAATAATATGATGAGGCAAAGAATTTTAAAAAGTAACTTACTGATGAAACCAGATTTTTTTTTCTATTAGGATTTAAGGGTGGCAGTTCTGGAGAACCGGTAGTGGAAAATTTTGAGTAGTTCGGAGAACCGGTAAATATCACCTCTGACTGGCCCCACTCCCATCTATTCTCTGCCTCCTTAGTCCCAGCTGATTGGGAGGAAATGGGGATTTTGCAGTATCCTTCCCCTACAGTAGGGAGGGAATGGAGATTTTATAGTATTCTTCCCCAGCCACACCCACCAAGCCATGCCCACCAAGCCATACCATGCCCACCACGCCACACCTACAGAACAGGTAGTAAAAAAATTTTGAAACCCACCACTGAAGGGTAGCCAATTATAAAAAGTGTATGAAAGATTGGTTTTATACATGGTAACTGCAGAGGGACTACCGTATGTGCAAAGGGGGAAAATACAATAATATAATAATAACCCACTATGGAGGATTGGACTGTGAAGATGACAAAATAAGCAGAAATGGCAAAAGTGTCCTGTTTGATCAGAGATGAAACAATAAACACTTTCTTAAAATACTAGAAATCCTTTAGTGATTTTTTGCTGAAAGCAGAAAAAAACGATCTGAAAAAATTGACTTGATGATTTCTGAATTTGGTTATTGAAAAGGGTTGAATATAGGAAGAACAGTATAATCTTGATGGGGGAGGAGTGACAATCAGTATGTCTATGGGAGGGGAAATCAGAAGTTGCTTCTTTAAATTTTTTTCATTTTCTTCTCTTACCTACTGCACTTTTTATTTTTTTAATTTCATTTCTATTTTTTCAACGTTTACCTTCAATTTTTTAAAAAAAATTCTAATAAAAATAAACAGCAAATATTCCTTATTATTAATTTAAGGAATATAACATCACTCCAAATATTATTTTGTTGTTGTTGTTACTGAAAACAGCAACTTCCAATCCTTTAAAAAAAAATCCTATCCAAAGGTGCGGAGAACTAATCTCGCAGAGAAAGGAATGTTGGCATGGAAGCATCTGAAGTAGGGTATTAAAAATGATAGAAACTTAGAAACTAAGTTCAGGTTTTGAGTTTTAAGTAATCTTAAAGGAATGAACTAGCACAATATCTATCTGTAGTTCCTAATAAGGTATTGAATTACAATATGAGTCAACATATACTTGGCAATCAGAAACCAAAAACAACTTTGCTTTCAAGCTAAAGAAGATGGATAAGTAAGAACTATTCAGGTTTGCCTTCCTGTTATTAAACCTGGAAAACAATATAAATCATTTTAGTAAACAGATTTCTAAAAATTGCCTCAATCACATGAATAGAGATCAGACAGAATGCAAATTGGCTTGGTACTTGACAAATTATACAATAATCAAAATGCCAAAACATAATCTTCCCTTTCCTGATAGCATATACATTTCATTCCATGTTGGTCAAAAGGAGCTTGATCCTAACCTCCAGTGAACTGCATTGTCAGTGCAAATAACCAGGATCAGCAGTTTAGTTTGGTGTTTCAAGTTTATTACATGCAACCTAAACACAATGATCTGATCTATTAACTGTTAAGGCAAATTGGTGCTTTATGGGACTAGAGCGAATCAAAACTGAGGATGTGTTTGACCCCGCCCTTGGGCTTTGGCCTAGTCATTTCCTATAGTATAGACTATAACTCAATTATACTCCTCAATACTCCTAATTGGTCTGGATTTTACTTGAAAAGGTTGTCCTGGCTCTCAAATGTGAAATTTAAACCATTTTTTTCAAACTGGAATCTGTCCAGATCAGAGGTGGGTTTCAGCAGGTTCTGACCAGTTCTGGAGAACTGGTAGTGGAAATTTTGAGTAGTTTGAAAAACCGGTAGTAAAAATTCTGACTGGCCCCACCCCCATCTATTTTCTGCCTCCCAAGTCCCAGCTGATTGGGAGGAAATGGGGATTTTGCAGTAACCTTCCCCTGGAGTGGGGTGGGAATGGAGATTTTACAGTATCCTTCCCCTGCCACGCCCACCAAGCCACACCCACAGAACCGGTAGTAAACATTTTTGAAACCTACCACTGGTCCAGATGTGTCTGGATTTCAATTTTAGAGGGATATATAGCGGGGAGATATAATTTTGGAGAAGCATGTTTATGAATCCAGCAAATTACATATGGCAACTGGATCACTTTTAACCCGTTAGGCATCTGAAGGGGAAAAAAATTAGCCTCTCTGTACTTAGGTACCAGAGATTTCCAATTCAGGAGTCCAAAGCAACCAGCCAAATACAAATGTAATACTGGCTGCTTGCAAGTTAACTGTCTTAAAGCAGCACTAAAGGGTTTTTATTTTGGGGGGGAGGGATATAATCCATTTAAATCAATGTTTCTCAAACTTGGCAACTTGTTGGGGAAAGAGCCTTTTTTTTAAAAAGGCAGCTTGTATGAGGCTGGACTAGGAGCCATATAAACCTCTGGAAAGATGTTGTTCTAGATGATGGGTGAACAGTTACACAGCCCACTCGTATCAGATGATTGTATGTGAAGTGCTAGTACCGCTTTATAAAACTTTGGTAGGACCACACTTGGAACACTAGAGGCTTTTAAGAAGAGTTTCTAATGAAAGCATAAAAATAAGACATTTTAATTACATTTGGGGTTGCTCTTCTACCCTCTTTTCCCAACAAACCTTCTTCTCCTTCTTCTTTCCCCTCCCTCCTTCCTCTCTTCTACTTTCTTCCTCCTCCTCTCCTCTCTGCCCTACGTCCCCTTCCTCTCC